GTGTATTCTGCAGTAACGGAGACGCTCGCTTCCCACACCCCATGCTTGGGGTGCAGCTGGGTGCGGGGTCTCCGCACCCATCACTGGCACCGAGCCCCTGCCCCGGCACCCTGGCCTCCAGGCACGGCTCCATTGCTGGTGCTGCCGCAGCTGTGCCGTGCCCGGCGTGGGGTCGAGCTGGTTTCGACCGATGCCACCCTCCCCTCCAGCCCTGGGGTTGCTTCTGGACTGGAGGAGAGCCCTGGTTATGGCCAGACCCAATGTCTTTTGGGCTCTCCCTCCCACCCAGCGGCTTTGGAGGGATCATTCGGTACGACAGAGCCTGGCATCTCTGCAGAGCGCTTCCCAATAAAAGTGTATTTCTTCCATAGCCAGGTGCTGTCTCTCTGTGCTCCAGCTGCCCCGAGGGCAGGAACGTGCTGGGCAGCACCCAGCCTCGCTGGGGTGCTCAGCCTGGTCCTGAACTGGATGCAGTGGGAGATGGATGGACTCACAGCAGGTAGAGGCAGGGAGGCAGGGCCCTGCTGGGGCTGCAAAGACCAGCCCTAGGGCAGGATGAGGAGCCCCTCATCCCGCATATCCAGCATCCTCAATGTGTGCCAGCTCCATGTCCATGCTGCTTGTCCTCCTCCAGCCCTTCCAATTTCTTATCCCTGTTGAACTGGGAGGCCCACACTGGACCCTACTGGGTGGAGCATCAGCAGCTTCTTTCAGGTGGCTGCCCATGACCTTCCCAGCGTCTCCCACTGCCAGCTTTGCCTTCCTCTGGAGAAGGGCAGCAACAAGCCGATGTCACCCTGAGGTCCACCATAGCCTCCAGGTACCTCCAGCAGGGTCCTTCCAGCTCAGGTGGGTCAGATGCTTCTTCATGTGCTTCCACAGGCCATGATGGACGTTGCCATCGCAAGGGGTGAGGCATTGCCACTCCTCAGTATCATGAAGAGCTGGTTTGTCCACATAGTGTGGTCGTGATTCTCCTTTCCAAGCATCCTACTGGGGCCTGCAGGATGCATTTTACTCATCTCTGACTGGGAGCACCCTGAGATAGACACTGCTGAAGGAACTTTCTTGAGGGTTCCACAAATGAGCAGAGGCTGACAAACAGAACAGCTTCCTCTGCAGCTGAGTCCCACAGGACTTCCATTTGCTTTTCTAAGCTGCTTTGCTCTGCTCTCCTGGAGGTGCAGAAATCACTGGCCTCAAAGGAAAAACAGCAGAACCCAACCACAGGAGGAGGTCATCATTTGGAGCAAATCCAGGGCTTCTGCTCCCCTGGGATGGAGCAGGAGCCACCTTCCCTGACAGACAGGTCACACCTTTGGTGAGAGCGTGGTGGCTTCACTAAATGCATTGCATGTGACCGGGGGAGCAGTGGCTGAGGCTAGCAGATGATGCTGTGATGGAGTAGGACCTGTCCCACAGCTACCAGCCCTCGTCTCCACCAGCACCTCATCCAGGGGAGCAGAGGAGCACAGTAGCACTCATGGCCAATCTTCACCAGCACCGCGACACTGATCTGCTTCCCATTCTGTCCCAACCTGAAGAAGGAACCATTGGGTTGGACAAGAGCATGTTTGCTTTGACTTGGCCGGCAAGCAGCGATAAAAGGGAGTCCAATGCCAACAATCCAGATCCTATTTCAGGCCCTACCAAAAATAAACTCGGAAGAGGAACTCCAATGGGAATGAAACATGGACAGGACAGCGGGCTCCCAACATTGTGTTGGGAATGTGCCTCCCATCAGTGCCAGGGGTATCTCATGCTGGAGGGGGTACTGTGAGGTGCTTAGGGAGCTCCATCGGCTCCACCAGCACCACACACCAGCCAGGGCTGTGGGGATATAAGTATACATTCGACTGATGTTTCACGTGGCGTCTTCAAGTGGGTGTGTTATACATGAGGAAATGGCCTTCTTCTTTGCCCCAAAAGTGGATGGAATGGTCCCTGATTGACTTCCCTAGGAGACTGGACTCCAGGAATGGCCAGTCTGGAAGCACTGGAATGTCTCCTCTGCAGGGAGTGGAGACACCAGGAGCTCCTGGGCTGCTGAGCTACAACTAACATGAGTTCACCCTGGCTGAGCATCCCTGTCTCCTCCCAGGGGTTGGTGTGCAGTCAGGATGTGTGTGCAGCATTTCCTTGGGTCCCCATGGATGCTCAGCTGGACAGCCAAAGCCCGGCCATGTTTGTAACATGTTTCTAATTATGCAAGCAGGTCAAACCCCACTTTTCCATGTCTGTAGCCTTTGCTCTACCAGCTCCATGAGCAGCCATCAGGAAGGGAGCGTGAAAGTTTCACCTCGTACCACCGAGCCAGCGACCACCTCAATCCAGATCTTATTTTAGCTGCAGCTCAGGGGTGAAATTCCCGTTCAGATATTCAGCTCCAGAGGCCAGAGTGGGGGAAACACTTTTACTCTGCACTGTTTAAATTGGAATCAATCCGGTGAGCCTGAGGCTGTGAGGCTCCGGCGGCCCTGGCCACACGCTCACCCAGGGATGAGCTGCACGAGGCTGAGGCCAGACACAAGGTTCAAGTGGCCCAAAAAAGGGGGAAGGAGGGTGGGGATGGGTGGCAAAGCCACTGTGGTGGGTGACCATGCACCCAGTGCCAAATGGAGTTGGAGGGCTGGTGCTGAAACCCCTTCCCCTGGCTCCCTCTGTGCTGCGGCAAGGAGCATCCTGCTCTCCTGATGACTCCTCATAGCACATGCATGAGGCCTCATCCTGCCTGGGGCTTCAGATTGTCCCCAGTGGGTGACCGGGCTGCACTTCAGCTCCTTGAGCTTCTTCCCTCAACTCAGAGCCCCATGCACTCATGCATGTGTCATCGGAGTGCCCTGTCCTTCAGCTCCAACTCCAGCTCCATCCACTGCAGCAAGTCCACCCTGCAATCACCACCAGCATCCCATCCCAACACCAAAGGCAGTATGTGCCCTATACAAACCGGAGCCAGCTGCCTCCTGCCATGCACACCAGCTCACATATCTGCCCCAGGTCCCCCATATCCCCATGCTCTGCAGGCTCCAGCCCACCAGCCTGCAGCAGGCAGCGCCTGAAGCCGGCCAGGGTAATGAGAAGCGCATGGGAACCACATCTGGTAGCGATTGAGCGGGAGCAGCGCTGGGAAGGGAGGAAGCACAGACTTCCTGCAGCACAAAGCAAGGGAGAGGAATGTCCGCAGTGGAGCAGGGGCCCCAGCAGCACCCTCCCTGCACCCCTCAGCCACAACACCTTCAACAGGGGCACAAAGGCACCGGATCGCACCTTTGGAGCTGTCTCTGGAACATGCTCCCTGCTCCATGGCTGAGCCCCTCAGCCTCCTCCCCGGCACCCCACAGCCGAGCTTCATGCATGGTCACTCCTTTCCAGTCCTGTGCTTCTCAGGGTCGAGGTCAAGATGATGCTGCTGAGGGTCTGGGGTCAAGACAGCCCTCCCATGCCCAGACAGCGCAAGGCTTCCACTGACCTTCGAAACAGCCTTGGAAAGAGAGCAGGAGCCTCAGAGAGTTGGTGAAGATGGCAAGATGAAGGCAGGGTCTGCTCTATACTGTGGTGATGGGGATGTGGCACTGGGAGGGGAAAAGGCATAGACTCATTGAATCATAGAATCAACCAGGCTGGAAAAGTTCTTTAAGATCATCAAGTGCCCCAGCACAAGCAGGGGAAAGGAAAAAAAGGAAATTATATCCAAGGATGTTTTAGGGATGCCCTGTTTGCCTGGGGATGCTCCACGTTCTCCCAACACAGCCATTTCTACTCCTCTCCAGCACGCTTTGAAGTCATATTAAACCTTCTGCTTCCAAAGCGTTTTTAGTACATTTTGGCGGATCACTCATTGTGCTAATTCAAGCCAGGAACCTCTTGTGCACGCTGCTGAAATGAGTTTGTAACTCAGCCTGTGCTGAGCACTGATCTCATCACCTGCACCGAGCACTCACTGAAAGGAACCGTGGCCACCCCAGCAGCACGATTGAAGTCAAAATGCACTTAATAAACTCCGCATGTTTAAGGGATTGGTAGGGATCCTGGAAGCTGGGGGGTGGGGGTGTCTCACCCTTCCCAGGGCTCCCCAGTGAACCCACAAACATGGCCTGGCTTGGTGTCCATAGGGAATGGTCCCCAGCTCATGGGCTGGACTGAAACCATGAAGCCAAGATGTGAATGAATGAAGCAATGAGGCTGGAGAGTGGAATTCCTCTGATGTCAGTGATGCATACACAAGGGATGGGGTGAAGAGGAACCCCCAGGAGAGCACTGACCACAGCAGTGCTCAGAAACACCCCAGCCATTGGGCACCACCTACACATAGGGTCTGAGGGCAGGTGTGAGGTTGTGGCTTCTGCTCATGAAGATGATGATGGTCATCATCGTCCCCCTGCACTGGGCACTGGTGAGGCCACACCTCAAATCCTGTGTTCAGCTCTAGGTCTGCAAGAGAGACATTGAGGTGCTGGAGCGGGGCCAGAGAAGGGCAGCGGAGCTGGTGCAGGGCCTGGAGCACAGGGGTGATGGGGAACGGCTGAGGGACCTGGGGGGTTCAGTCTGGAGAAGAGAAGGCTCAGGAGGGACCTGATGGCTCCCTACAACTGCCTGAGAGGAGGATGGAGCCAGGAGGGGCTGGGCTCTGCTCCCAAGGAACAAGGGATGGGACAAGAGGAAACGGCCTCAAGCTGCCCCAGGGCAGGTTTAGATGGAGCTGAGGAACAATTCCTGCCCCAGAGGGTGCTCAGGCATTGGAACAGGCTGCCCAGGGCAGGGCTGCAGTCACCGGCCCTGCAAGTGTTCACACCCCGTGGAGACGAGGCCTCAGTGCCATGGGGCAGTGGTGGCCTTGGCGCTGCTGGGGAGCCGATGGATGAGCTGAAAGCTCTTTCCCAACCCAGCCGATTCCACGGTTCCACTGCTCCCCGCCGCAGCCACTGCCGTCCCCGAAAGCGGCCCGAGCGGAGGGCACTAGGACCGCGCACGGGGAAGGGGGCGTGGCCGGCAGAAGGAGGCGTGTCGGTACGGCGCAGGCGCGGTGCGGGGGGGGCCATGTCGCGGTTCGGCGGCGGAGCCGGGGGCCTGGAGGCCGCGGAGGCGCGGGCGCGGTCCCGGCAGCAGGAGCGGCACTACCGGCTGCTGTCCGAGCTGCAGGCGCTCGTGAAGGCGCTGCCCAGGTGAGCGGCGCGGCGGGGAGCGGTGGGGAGGGGAGCGGCGGGGAGCGGCGGGGCGCGGCGGCCGGCGCTGACCCGCGCCCGCAGCCCCTGCCAGCAGCGCCTCTCCTACACGACGCTGAGTGACCTGGCGCTGGCGCTGCTGGACGGGACCGTGTTCGAGATCGTCCAGGGGCTGCTGGAGATCCAGCACCTCACCGAGAAGAACCTGTACAGCCAGCGGCTGCAGCTGCACAGCGAGCACCGCGGTCCGCGGGGGCGGGCCGGGGAGGAACGGGGAGAGGGAACCGGCGGGGGGCTCCGCGGGGAACCGCGAGGGGCAACCGGGGCGGGCACTGAAGAGCAGCGGGGGGGAGAAGGCGGCGCAGGGGGAACCGGGCGTGGGGTAACGCGGGGGGGGGGCTGGGGGAGGCAGAGGGGGACGGGGGGGAGACCGGGGGGATTGTGGGGAGAGGGAACGTGGGAAGGGCACCGGGGGGTGCAGGGCATGGGGGGTGCGCCCGCGCGCTTTGGGAGGACATGGGGGGGGCACTGGGAGGGGTCGATGGGTACCTGCGGGGGGGGGGGGGGACATGAGTCCGGGGCATGCGGGAGGCGGGAGTGGTGCTGGGTTGTGGCAGGTTGTGGGGCACATGGAGGGATGGCGGGGGGGGGTTGACGGTGCCATGCCCTGACCCGCTGCCTGTCTTGCTGCAGGGATGAAGCAGGAGCTCTTCCACCGGCACAAGGAGGCGCAGCAGTGCTGCAGGCCCCACAACCTGCCGCTGCTCCGCGCTGCCCAGCAGCGGGAGATGGAGGTGAGGTCCGGCCTGGGCTTGCTGACATAGAGCCATGGAATGGTTTGTGTTGGAAGAGACCGTAAAGCTCATCCAGTTCCAACCCCTGTCTCACCACCCTCATGGAAACAAATGTCTTCCTCACATCCTGAATCCCCCCTTGTCCTCACAATCCATCACCCTTTGTCCTGCTCCAGCCAGCCCTGCTAAAAAGTATTCCCATCTTATATCCCTTCTAGTAACTGAAAGGCTGCAATAAGACTCCCTGGAGTCTTCTCCAGGCTGCACAAGCTCAGCTCTCTCAGCCTTTCCTCATAGCAGAGGTGCTCCAGCCCTCTGACCATTTCTGTGTGACTCCTCTGGACCCTCTTCAGCAGATCCGTGTCTTTTCTGTAGATGGGATTTGACACTTCCTAACTTTCCCTGTGGCTTGCATGTGGGTTCTGTTACTCAGTGCAGCCCGGTAAGGTTGTATTGCCTCCACACACACATGGCTTTTGATGTGAGCTGGGCTCTTATCCCCTGCAATCCTCTTCTTTCTTCTTACCTCTCCATCATGTTTTTCTGGTTGAGGTTTCCTCCATAGCTGAGTGGCAGTGCTCCGTTCTGCGGCGTGGGAGCACTCCCGGAGCATGCTGCCACTCCTGAAGTCCAGGGTAATGTTCTCAGCCTGCCACAAGTAGGGCCCCAGCACACCAGAGGCCTAAGCCAGGGTTCAGCTTGCTCTTGTCAATACCACAGAAAGTGGATTCCAGTTCTGAAGTTGGGTTTTTGAGGAGTTCAGCTCCATCTGTGAGTAAACGGGATCTGGGTGTGATTTACAGCCCCAGCTCTGTGTGTTGCTGTCCAGGGAACACAGAGGCTCAGGGAAGTGTCTGAGCTGGCACCTTGATGGGCTTCAGTGGCTTCTGCTCCTCCTCCAGGTCTTTCCTTGGACTTCTCCAGAGCCCGTCCTCAGCCATAGCTCAGACCTTGGCTCCTCAGGAAAAGCTATTCAGACACTGATCTGTTGCTCATGGTCTTTTCTGGCCTCCAAACACAGAGAGGATGGTCCCAGAGGTTTCCCTGCATTTTCTGGAGTGGTAGTTTTGCTGAGACATGGCAACTGGAGGAGGCAAGACCCGGGGCCGTAATTGCTGCCTTCTGCTGTCCTTGGGGCAGGAATGCTTCAGGGTTGAGTTGCTCCTCATTTCCAGTAACAGACTTGGAGGTGACAGAAGGTAGGAGGCAGGCAGATATTCCACAGTTTTCCATTGATTGTCATCTTTGTCAGGCTGTGGAGCAACGAATTCGAGAGGAGCAACGGATGATGGATGAGAAGATAGTCCTGGAACTGGATCAAAAAGTGATAGACCAACAGAGCACTCTGGAGAAGGCTGGTGTGTCTGGCTTCTACATCACCACTAACCCACAGGTTGGTGTTTGGGCAGGGAGTGTAAGGTCTGACAGCACACTTGTATCAGCATCTTCATTTGTTTAACAAGATCTTGCTCTTAATGAATTCTGAATCACTGGATCAGAGAGAATGACCCATCCTTTGCCCCATTGGCTGATGAGCAGTGTGCCCTTTGTGGACCTAGTACTGGGTTTGTAACAGAGGAGCAGAAAACCACGAGGCATGGCAACATCCGAGCTCTCTGCTGTGTTTTTCCCAGTGTATGGGTTAGGAAGGCTGTGCTGCAATCCTGTGGCTCCTGCATGGGGCTGAATGATACCTGAATAAGAAGCTGCACAGGTTTGTCATTGCTGTACCTTGCTCACTGTGCAGACTGCCTTGGCAAAGTCTTTATGAGCCTCTTGTCAATCCTTGCATGTGACTTCCTGGAGATGATGATCTCAGGCTGTGATTAGAACACTGGTTGTGGTTTCCCCAGTGCATCTGCTCCCGAAACTCATGAGCAGTGGAAATAAAACTCCCAAAGTCTCCTTGGAATGCCACAGGAGTTTGCAGGGAATGCAGAAGCAGGCTGTTCTTAACAGGGAGGGAGGTGTAACTGATTCAGTTTCACTTCCATAAAGACCCACTAGTGAGAAAAAGTGGCTTAAACCAAGTTAGTTAAACAGGCACCCTCTAAACCCCACGAGTCTCTGCCGTGCAGCCATGAACAAGCCTCTTGTTTTTCCTGTGCTGCTGTTCCTCACTGGTACAATGAAAGCAGCTCTTTCTCTCCCCTCCTGCCCCTGCCTTTTAGAAGTGATAACTCTTCACAGGGTTCCTGTTTGCTGGGGTTTAAGTTTTCCTTTACAGTAGTTGGCAAAGCAGATGCAGACCTTGGCTTGTAGCTGTGAACACCATCTTTGGCTAAGAAATGCCTCCTGGAATCTGTTCTCCACATGCTGGGGTGTTTCCTCTATATCTGTTGTATAAAATACCTGCTTATGCAGGCGATAGGTTTTTACCAAAATAGACTTCTTTTATTTCAATAAGGGAATGTCTGCAAGCCTGAGTCACGGAGCAGTGTTCATGGGATTTGCTGCTCCACTGGGTAGTGTAAGTGGCTTGTGAGCTAAATGTAACCAAAGTACGAGCAGGTGGTAAGGAAACCATACACTGTGTTGACTGTAGGAAACAGTGGTCTTCACTCATGGAAGAGGGGAGTTTTTGAAAGGGAATGACATACCTAGAAGGAGTTTGATGTGCCAGTACAGCAGTGTGCTGCACACAGACTCCAGTTAGGGCGCAAAGTGAACCCTCCTGCTTCCTGCCCATCTATGCTGGAAAAGGAGCAGAGTGTGGAAAGTGCTGTTGAAGGATGGCATGGGGTGTGGGCGTGCAAGCGGGTGCTGCTGCTCCAGAAAGGGAAACCTGCAGAACTGGCTGGTTCCCGCTGCATTTGTCATGGTCAAGAAGAACCTTTCTGAATCCTCAGTGTATCCTAAGGCCCTGGGACTCCCAAGAGCTGTACTTTGCAGCAGATCTCTTAAGAAATTACTGCCCTGTATCTTACAGAAGCACTTGAACCAGAGAAAGGCTTTGGTTGGTATTTCCATGGTTTCTCTTTTGCTCCCTGATGATGAGCAGCTCTTGAGTGGGTGGTTCAAACCCGTCCTTTCTGCTTCCTGCAGCAGGGAATGGGATCATCTTGTTCTTGCAAAATCATCTCTTTCCTTTGCAGGAGCTGACTTTACAGATGAATTTACTGGAGCTGATTCGGAAGCTACAGCAGAAGGAATCTGAGTCCGAGAAGGCTTTTTCCTGAACGAGCAAATCTGCTGGTTTCTTCCTGGAGTTTTTTCTTATTTCCCTCTAATGAATAGACTGTTCATGTGTTTGCTTTTTACTGTGTCAGGAAATCCTCTGGATTTGAGGAGACATTTTGATGTCTCTGGTAAGGAATGGGAGAGGTGAGGAGTTGGAGGCGGACTCGCCATCCATGGATGGTTGGCAGCTGGGAAAAATGTCCAAGTTTCTCTACAAGAAGATGGTTGTGTGTGTGCTGAGGCACAAACAGCCCCTTGAACAGGTTCTTCCAAAGACACTGAGCAGGTATCAGCATCATGGGAGATTTTGGGATTCTGCCCAGCATTACTGGGCTGTGTTTGCAGTGTCCCACTCAATTCGGGCAGCAGAGACATCCTGAGGGCTTTCCCTTTTCCTTAAACCAGTTTCCAAATGCAGAGAAATAAAATCATTCTGTTCTGTCTTGGGGGCTGCAGTTTTCCAAATGTCCGTGGCTGTGAGTACCTCTGCCCCAGCCCTGCATGGTGAGTGTGGGGCACTGGATTAAATCGGGGGGAACTTTGAGTGTCTCTGAGACCTGTCAGGACTGATGACCCAGGGATGCAGTGCATGGGAGAGTGGGGACACTGGCTAGAAGCTGGGTAAAGGAGCACTTCAAGTGTGGAGGGACTGTGGTGGAGCCGGGCAGTATGGGCTGCCCATAGGGATGGGTTGGTGCAGGAGGAGGCTGTGAGCACTTTTGGTGTTCACGGGTGAAGTTCAGGTCAGAGAAGCTGTTGGGGGTTGCTTGAAGATGCAAAGCCATTGTGTGTTGAAGAGCTGTGATTGTGCCTGGGTCACCATTTCAGGGTTTTCCGGCATTCCTAGAGCAAGGCTTGTACAGAGTCATCATAGAATCCCAGACTGGTTTGAGTTTAAGGGACCTCATCGAGTTCCAACCCCCTGCTATGGGCAGGGACACCTTCCACTACAGCAGGTGCTTCAGGCTGGAAAGTGGGCTGATGTGGGCCCTGCACTGTCACAGGATCCCCATGAACCATTTTGAGCTGTGTTGCCTCTGGACCCTCTGCTGGGAGGGGTCTGCACCCCCTGCACTCTACTGTTAAACTGTCAAGGAGCAGAGTGGACAACATTCCCCTCTGGAGACACCATAGGGCCCGTGAGGACACGCACGGGCAGGAGCAGTCCCTGGTGCTGAATCTGTTCGTCTCTGCGTGGCCAGAGCTGTTGTCAAGGAAATTGCTTGCCAAGGGATGAGGATGAGGAAGTCGGGGATGAACAATGGCTCCTATTGCAGGAAGGGAGCCTGCCTGATGCCAGGGTTGGAGCAGCGCCTCCTTTAAGCAGCAGCAAAGCCCATGGTGGGGCTGGAGCAGCTCAGGGGCAGCTCGTGCAGGAGGTCAGGGTTGTGCCATGAGGAGCAGAGCCCACCTGGACCCAGAGCTCCCCTGCAGAGCCGGCAGCTGCCATCCCCCTTGCTGCCGGGATCCCAGGAGGCTGCTCCAGCACTGCCATGACAACGGCAGCTCTCCCGCCTCCAGCTCCCGCCATCTGGCTGCAGATGCTCTGCCAGGCAGCCCATTCAAGCGGGCGTTTCTCATGCCTGTGCTCGGGGTGGGTTTCGGAAAGGTTTTGTGTGTGAGATGGGAGCAGCGGTGCAGGCAGGTTGATTGCTGGGAAAGGGAATAAAGCACCAGGGTAGAGCAGGGGCACTGGGTAAGCATGATTTCAGCAGAGCTCAGCCCCCTCAGTTGTGGTGGTGCTGGTGATGGCTGGGCTGGGGATGGACCTGGTGACTGACCCGAAGGAGCTGGAAATGCTGCAAAGGAGCACTGGCTTTGGGCTGTCGGCTCCATAGTTCAAGTACCTGTGGAACCCCCAGGCTCTTGCCCCAGGCTGGGGACCCCTTTGGTGGCAGCTCCTGCCTGAGTCTCCATGTGTGCCAGAAGCCACATAGAGAGGGAATGCATGAGCTAATGGAGCTCCATGGTGTGGTTTGAGGTGACTGACAAGAGAGCTACATCTCTGTGCCAGCCCCCCAGTCACCCATCAGCGGGAGGAGGGGGAATAATGGGTGGTAGAAAGGGACAAGTCCTGGTTCCTGCTTCCTTTTCGTGTACTTTGGGCTGATGAGGGGGATAGTGAGGTCCCCTCTGCATAAGATGGTCCAGCATGGATGAGGATGTATTTGTGCAGGTGAGAGCCCTGAGAGCTGCACGGTGGGCTCTGAGTTGGCTTACCACTCAAGAGGGACATCTGGGGTGAAGCATCAGCTTTAGTGCTCAGTAGCCAAGTGACAGGACAAGAAGAAACAGCCTCAAGCTGCACCAGGGCAGGTTTAGATGGAGCTGAGGAACAATTCCTGCCCCAGAGGGTGCTCAGGCATTGGAACAGGCTGCCCAGGGCAGGGCTGCAGTCATGGTCCTTGCAAGTGTTCACACCCCGTGGAGAAGAGGCTTCAGTGCCATGGGTTAGGGGTGGCCTTGGCAGTGCTGGGAATGGGTGGATTTGATGAGCTTAAAGGGCTCTTCCAGCCTGGTGGATTCTGTGATTCCAGAGCTCAGCCTCTGCTGCTTCTCCACGGCGAGAACCTGAGCACGGAGGAGGTCCCTGTTCTCCAGGCCCCAGCTGCAGAGCGCAGCAGGGAGCGGCCGGTTCCCCGCTGGGATGGCCGCAGAGCCGGGGCTCAGCCCTTCATCCGCGGCTGGGCTCCCACCTGCATCCCCGCTGTCCCCTCTGCACCCCCCGGTGCCGGGGTGCGGGCCCCGCCGCTGCCCAATGGGGCTCATGCCCGGGGCTCTCCCGTTCCCGGCCCCGCGCTGCTCCCGGCGGGGGCACCGCCGGCTCCCCCCGCCCCGAGGGACTCCCGCGGCAGCCGCGCGGGTCCCGCCCTTCCGCTTGGCCGGGGAGGCGGAGCCGGGCGGCGGCGGCGGCGGCGGCGCGGAGCAGGTGGGGAGCGGGGCCGGGGAGCGGGAGCCTGGGGGCGGCGGGGCCGGGAGCGGGGCACGGCGCGGGGCGATGGGGAGCGCGGCGGGGGCACCGGGGCAGGAATCCCAACCCTCGGCCCGGGGGGGCCGTGACCGCCCCGTCGAGCTCCGTGTCCCCTGTTGGGTGCGTCGGGGTCGGGTACCCCGACACTGACCCCTCGCACCCCGTGCACGGGTGTTCGGAGAGGGGCTGGGGGTGCCTCCAGCGCGTTTGGTGCCAAGAGGCCCCTTGTCCCCATGGGCCGGTGTCATGCCGGCAGCTCACGGCGACTTTTCCAGGACCTTTTGGCCTCTGGGACCAATGGAGCCAGGGAGCAGGGCTGCGCCGAGAGCCCTCTCAGCAGGACCTGGGGCTTGGGGCTCTGGGATACACGTATCCCAGCACAGGGAGGAGGGGAGAGCATCCTGCCCCATGGAGCAGCTGTAAAGCAGCACCTGGAGATGCCAGATGCCTCCTCCTGCTCTCCAGGAGCCTGATGCGTTTCCTGGTCTGGCCAGGATATTCCACGTCCTCGCTTGGAGCTGCTCTGGACTTCCTGCTGCATGCCAAGCCACTCTTGGGCTATCCCTGGGCAAGCAGTGGAGACAGAATCATAGAATCAACCAGGTTGGAAAAGACCTTTAAGATCATCAAGTCCAAGCCTTATCCCAAGACTGCCATGTCCACCACTAAGCAATGTCACTGAGGATATCCAACCCTCCCTGGGCTCTTGGCACACCAGGTCAGGGAGAGGTTGAATAAGGTGGGGGGGGGGAAGCAGCAAAGAAATGTTCAGCAGGGCCAGAGCAGTCTGGTTTGGGTTTAATGCAGCTCTGGTTAAAAAGAAACGCCTCGGAGATGCTGCCTTGGAGATGCTGTGCGTTCCTTCCCTCCTGGCACACAAGCATGGGTCCCCACTGGTGGTTGTGTGTCCTGAGCCACCACCCAGGGGAAGGACACGCTCCAGTGCAGAGCCCAGTGCTGGCTGAGGAGCGAGGGACACTGAATGTGCCCTGGTGCCTTTTCCACCCTGTCCCCACCACCCAGTGCATCCTTGCAGGGGGGATGCTGACACCGTCCTGCTCCTCTGCCAGGTCTCCAGGCAGGGTCTGGCCGAGGGCCCGCCACTGCCTCCAGGATGGCGCGATGGCTGCCCCGCTCCACCGACCTGACCCGCTTCTGCCAGAAACTCAACCGGGTGAAGACCCTGGAGGATGACATGATGGAGACATCCTTCAACAGATGCCTTTCCACCATTGACCTGACGCTGCTGGGCATTGGGGGCATGGTGGGCTCCGGGCTGTACGTCCTCACAGGCACCGTGGCCAAGGAGATGGCTGGCCCTGCCGTCATCGTCTCCTTCATCATTGCGGGCTTTGCCTCACTCCTGGCTGCTCTGTGCTATGCTGAGTTTGGAGCCCGTGTTCCCAAGACAGGCTCTGCCTACATGTTCACCTACGTGTCCGTGGGGGAGATCTGGGCCTTCCTCATCGGCTGGAACGTGCTGCTGGAGTACATGATCGGGGGAGCCGCAGTGGCCAGGGCCTGGAGCGGTTACCTCGACTCCATCTTCAACCACAAGATAAAGAACTTCACCGAGACCCATGTGGGCACCTGGCACGTGCCATTCCTCGCTCACTACCCTGACTTTCTGGCAGCTGCAATCCTGCTGGTTGCCACCACCTTCATCTCCTTCGGGGCCAAAGTGTCCTCCTGGCTCAACCATGTGTTCTCGGCCATCAGCATGGGTGTCATCCTCTTCATCCTCATTATGGGCTTCATCCTCGCGCAGCCCAAGAACTGGAGTGCCCAGGAGGGTGGCTTTGCCCCATACGGGCTGTCGGGCATCATGGCCGGCACAGCCACCTGCTTCTACGCCTTCGTGGGCTTCGATGTCATTGCGGCCTCCAGCGAAGAGGCCAGGAACCCTCAGAGAGCTGTCCCCAGGGCCATTGCTTTCTCCTTGGGGCTGGCCACCGGTGCCTACATCCTGGTGTCGGTGGTGCTGACGCTGATGGTGCCCTGGCACACGCTGGACCCGGACTCTGCCCTGGCAGATGCGTTCTACAGGAGGGGTTATGCCTGGGCAGGGTTCCTGGTGGCTGCTGGCTCCATCTGTGGTGAGTACTGGCAGTGGTGGGAGTGCTGCTCGTTACGGGGGCTGGGATCCAGGGTGGTGTGGGTCTGACATGGTCCTCCTTCTCCTGCCCACCCCTCAGCAATGAACACGGTCCTGTTGAGCAACCTCTTCTCCCTGCCACGCATTGTCTACGCCATGGCCGAGGATGGGCTCTTCTTCCGCGTCTTCTCCCGCGTGCATCCCCGCACACAGGTGCCCGTTGTTGGCATCGTGGTCTTCGGGTTGCTCATGGCACTGCTGGCCCTTGTCTTTGACCTGGAGGCCCTGGTGCAGTTCCTGTCCATCGGTACGCTGCTGGCCTACACCTTTGTGGCTGCCAGCATCATTGTCCTGCGCTTCCAGCAGCAGAAGGGGGATGTCCGTGCGCCAGCGGCTGGTGGCCGGCCCAGCCCCGAGCCCCACGAGGGCCCATCTGCCGGTGAGCTGAAGGAGTACGAGTCCTTCTCCGACAAGCTCCAGCTGGTGGACAGGGACAAGAGCAAAGAGCACCGGGAGCCAGGGCAGCTGAAAGCAACTTTTGAGCCCTACCTGGAGTTCCTTAGCGACTTCTACCCAGGGGAGGTGGTCACGGTGGCTGTGGTGACCTTGATGGTGTCAGCCATCTGCCTATGCTCCATCCTGGTGTTTGGCAGCACCCACCTCCACCTGCCCACCTGGAGCTACTCCCTGCTGCTGGTCCTCTTCAGCCTGGGCTTCCTGCTCAGCCTCCTGCTCATCTGGGCGCACGAGCAGCAGCACGGCACACAGACCTTCCAGGTACGCTGGGGACCCGGCAGGAACAATCCCTCTGCTGGGGTCAGTAGGGTGGGAGCAGCTCCGATGGACCCGCAGGAGGTCCTGGTCACACTGGTCTGGTGAAAGCACTGAGGCTCTTTTCTCCAGCTGCCAAACCACTTTTGTGCCCCTTATGCCCCCCTCCAGTTTCCGCCCGGGTGCAGCCGTGTGGGTGGTGACACCAGTGGTAACTCCACCTCCCTGCCATGCCTTGGCCTGGCTGCTCCAGCAAGTACCACGCTGGCTCTGGGTTGCACTAGGAGGTTGTTCCATCCAGAGCCATGCCCGCTCCACCAGCCTGGCCCCCAGCACCTGGCTCCCCCACTGCCGCTGTTCCTTTCAGGAAGCCCAGTGTGACAATCATTTGTCCCCCATGTTCACCAGTGCCAGCTTTTGTGTCTGTGGTTTTCAGGAGGGGGAACATAGTCCTGCAGGTCTCACTCACCCTCAGCTCCTTTCCTCCCGCAGATCCCCCTCGTGCCCCTGTCTCCAGCGCTGAGCATCCTCCTCAACATCTATTTGATGCTGAAGCTCAGCTACATGACGTGGCTCCGCTTTGCCATCTGGCTGCTCCTCGGTGAGTGCTCCTGCGCAGCGCGAGCCAGGGAGCGGGACCGGGCTGGTCCCGGTGGTGAACAAGCCATCTGGTGGCTTTGGCAGCTCTTCCCCCTGGGGGATGGGTTTATAAAGCACTCTGCGTCCCTTTCTGTCTCCAGTTACCCCTGGGAGACACGAGCTGAGATCTCCCAGCATCTCCCTGACTCTCATGTTTACGGAGTGTTTTGCTTGTCCCTGTGAGGCTTGGATCCTCCCTCAAGCTTTGGGCCAGAACCACCCCCTGCTCCCGCGGCAGCTCCCTGGGACTCCCCCTCCCTGGAGACGCGGGTGCCCAGGATCCGCAGGATCCTTTCTCTCCCTCAAGCATCTTTGCAGCCCCCGCCGGGGCCGCGGCTTGTGCCACTCGCGGGGCCGCCGGCCGCGTCCCGGCGGGCTCTGGAGCCGCTGTCCCCCCGCAGGGCTGCTCGTGTACTTCGGTTACGGCATCTGGCACAGCAAGGAGAACCTGCGGGAGCCGCGGGAGCAGCGCCTCAGCGCCCGCTACGTGGTGTTCCCCAGCGGCAGCCTGGAGGAGAGGGTCCAGCCCGTGCAGCCCAGCGCCCAGCCCGCCAGCCTGCCCGACACCGACACCGCCGACGGCAAGAGATGACCCCCCCGGGGCACGGGGGCACCGGGCTGCGGGAGCACCTGAGCCCCTCCCCATGGCAGGGCCAGAGACCCCCCCTCCTCCTCCTGGTCCCTTCGATAGTGGAGCTGCCAGGTCTGCCCTGGGCACGTGGCTCCATGTGATGAGGATGCTCACCCTTCCTGTTCCCCTCAGAGTGTGTGTGTGTGTGGCTGGCTCCCTCCCTGCCCATCCCCAGCGCCCAGTGCCTGCCCTACTCACAAGGAGCTGCATCCTCACCACCTTTCCCTGAGCAAACCCAGGCACTGTGCAACAGATCTCCTTGTTGCCAGCCCATCCACACAGCCAGGGATGCTGAGGACCCCTGGGGATTGGGACAGGCACCCCACTACTGCCCATCCTGGGTCTCATCCTGGCTGCAGCCCTGCAGACCCCTCTACCTGATGCTGTGCCGCCTGGGGAGGGAGACGGGACAAACATGCTTCCCTGTTGGCATTCCCACTGTCCCCATCCCCAGGGCCACATTCCTGAATGTCTAGAGCTGAGGAGGCTGAGGAGCATATGGGGACATGGGATGGAGAAGGAACATGGCTGGAGTGACTGGCTGGGCAGGGACCCTCCAGCAGAATCCCAACTTCACCTTCCCAGCTGGCATCAGCCATGCCCAGCTGGAGGGTGATGCCAGGGCCAGGCTCCTGCCCCAGCCCTGGGTGTAGGTGCTCAGGACCCTGGGTTTGTTGTCTTGTCCCCAGAGGTCCCCAGCAGTGCCCTGGGTTGGGCTCCCTCTTTCCCCTGCACCCCAATAGCACAGCCTGCCCTGCCCTGCTGTGGGGGGCTCAGCTCCCTGTAATGCCCCCTCCATGCTCTCTGTGAGTTGGGACGGGCTCTGTGGGTGCTTTTTGTTGTTGCCCCACCCTGGCTGCCATGGTGTCGTGGGATGGCCTATGGGGTGACGCTCTGTGGCCACCCCAGGCTCCTTGCCTATGGGCAGACTCAAGTGGAAGAGTTGGGGTTCAGCCAGCACAATTTGGAAGGAGGAAACAACCCATCGAGCAGGAGATTGCTGATTGCCAGGTCCTGCAGCAGGGACACCATGCTCCCTGTCACTGCATCCTGCGAGGAGCCAGGCACCACGGGTAAGCTGGTCCCATTGCTTCTTGCTGGCCAGTCCCTGGGCAGGCTGGGGGTCTCTATAGGATACACCAGCTCCCTGGTGAACCCTCTGCTGCCAGTGCTGCTCCGTGTCCTGCCTCATCCTCGTGCTGCTGCTGCAATGGAGCAGCGTCTCTCTGCTGTGCCATGGCCCTGCTTGGCACCTCTGTGTAGTGGCTTGTGAGCAACGGGCTGCCTGGTCACCCTCATAAATGCTGGTTCTCTGATGGCTCTGGCTGTGTGTGCTCTGTGTCCCCTCCCAGGAGTCAGTCAGAAAACAGCTTGGGCTGGAAGTGGCATTCAGAGCTCATCCAGTCCTACCCCTGCAGTGAGCAGGGACATCCTCAGCTAGAGCAGGTTCCCAGAACCACATCCAGCCTGGCCTTGAATGTCCCCGGGGATGGGGCATCCACCACCTCTCTGGGCAACCTGTGCCAGGGTTTCACCACCCTTGTGGTAACAAATGCCTTCCTCACATCTAGTCTGCATCTCCTCAGAGCAGAGCAGAGGGGCAGCGTGGGGAAGCTGCTCCCTCAGACGATGCTCAGGAGAGGTCTGCTAAGCCTTGGGGAAAGGGGGAGTCCCGCTGCCCGCTGCCCCTGCAGCCACGCTCCTCCTGAGCTGCCTTCCTTCCTCCAGCTAGAGCTGCAGCACACATGGCCAGGCCTCCAGCACTGCTGAGGGCAGCTTTGCTCTTCTGACACGGGTGTTCTGCCATGAAGATGGACTCCAGCCAGACCCATGGAAACGGAACTCCAAGGGCCTGGGGCAGCTGTGCAAAGGGGGCCTGGAACTCGAGCTTTACAGGTAGGCATCTGTAACTGCATTCACCCAGGTGAGCCTGCCGGGGATGGGGCAGCCACAGCTTCTCTGGGCACCCTGCACCAGCGCCTCAGCACCCTCACAGGGAAGAGCTTCTGCCTAAGAGCTCATCTCAGTCTCCCCTCTGGCAGGTTAAAGCCATTCCCCTTGGCCTGTCCCTAAGGGCCCTTGTCCCAAGCCCCTCTCCAGGTTTCCTGCAGCCCCTTTAGGCACTGGAGCTGCTCTCAGGTCTCCCCTTCAGGAGCCTTCTCTTCTCCAGGCTGACTCAGCCCAGCTCTCTCAGCCTGGCTCCAGAGCAGAGCTGCTCCAGCCCTCGCAGCAGCTTGTGAACCAGTGCAAATAATGGGAATTAAAGTGTGAGACATTTGAGATAACCCCCAGATAACCCCATCCTCACTGTGTTCATGAGGGAAGTTTCCTTCCCATGGTAACAGTCATTCCTTATTAAAATAATAAAGCATTCAACAGGTATCTGGGGAGGCAACAGACTTATCTCGTTGGCTTTTAATCTCTGCCATAAATCCATTGTCAGCAGGATAAAGGTAAATAGAACCGCAGTTATCTATCAGGAGCCCAGCGCAGGGCTGGGAAGAGCAGTCAAAGTCCCAGCAGTGCAGGGCGAGCTGAGGTGCAGAGCACTTTCTTTTTCTCTGCTGGAGGAACTCAGCAGAAGCCACATCACAAAACCCTGTGGGCTGTGGCCGGGGCCAGGCTCACCCCATGTGGGCTCAGTTGGGCTTTTAAACTGGTGAAAACCCAAGAGTTGTTGAATCTTCCTCGGGGACTGTAGTGACAGGACAAGGGGTGATGGGTTCAGACTGAAACAGGGAGATTATGATGAGACATAAAGAAGCTTTCCCCTCTGAGGGTGCTGAGGCGCCGGCACAGGGTACCCAGAGAAGCTGTGGCTGCCCCATCCCTGGCAGTGTTCAAGGCCAGGTTGGACACAGGGGCTTGGAGCAAGCTGCTCCAGTGGAAGGTGTCCCTGCCCGTGGCAGGGGTTGGAACTGGAGGAGCTTTAAGATCCCTTCCAATCCAAACCAGGCTGGGATGCCATGAATGAGCCTTGTCACGATCCATAGTTAACCTATTTTTCAGATGTAGAGAAATTCCTGTTGGGCTGCACCATAAAAAGCAAGTGTGGACCCAACACAGCCCAGGAGAGGCAGGGAATGGAAGGATTGAGCTGTGATTAAAGGCGGCAGGGCAGTGAGGAGCCTCCCGAGCACAGCCCTGGCTCCTTTATGAAATAGGATTACAAAATTGCTTGCTTCATGTGTGTCATTCATGTTCCTGCTGCAGCAGTGTGCCCTGTGCTGGTGCGGAACATGTCATAATTGGTTTTAAACTGCCCACTAATGCACACACACAAAAATGGGGTGTCAGTAGCCACCAAGGCAGCGCTCCTGCAGTGTTTGGTTCCTGAAAAGAGGATCAGCAGGAAAAAGCCATCCAAACTAAACACCACCAGCAGTGCTCTGAGATGGGAGCCTGTGACTGGAGGGAGAAAACCCATCAGTTCCCCACCTGAACCCCTGTACACAGGATCCAGCCACCCCCCTGTGCAGCTCACAGCCCGTGTTCACAGGAAGCTGCTGGTCTCTAGGGGCTGGTGTTACGCTGCGTTTCCATGGGAGTATCTTCCTCCAAAGTAGCCTTAAATAAATAAGTAGATTATTTTCTGGGGCTCCCAGAAATGGCCTGGTCAGCCTGGCTGGGCTGCTGGAAACCCATCTAATCGAGATGCATCAGTGCAGTATGTAGGTCAGTGGTGTGATGGCTGGTGCTAGGCTCCGGGAGCCTGGAAGGGCTTTAGGGGCCATGGGGCAGATGCAGCTCCAGCACATGTGCTCTAGTGCTGGGCTAAAGGGCTAATAATCCCCTCACCTCACCAGTGAGGCTACTGGAATGGGAGGACTGGGAGAGGAGCTGGTTTGCCTGCACTGAGAGGAGAAAAACACAAATTCAGAGGGGGAATAACATAAGATTTGTACTAGAGATAACACTGGTGTAGGGATGCTACCCACTATCATTTACATCGTAGAGACTGCATCAGCCTGAGTCCCCCGACCCCAAGATGCAGCTCAGGGACACAGGGGTACCCAGGCCAGCTCCAGAGACAGCCCAATGGGACTGAGCTGGGTCCACAGGACAGCAAAGACATGGACCTGTTGGAGAAGGTCCAGAGGAGGAACACAGGAACAATCAGAGGCCTGGAGCAGCTCTGCTCTGGAGCCAGGTTGAGAGAGCTGGGCTGGGTCAGCCTGGAGAAGAGAAGGCTCCTTAAGGGGAGACCTTACTGCAGGTGCCTCCCAACGCTGTTTCAGAGGGAGTTTAATCACAGGCGTTATGCTGGACTAAGCAGGCACTGACCCACTTGCAGGCTCAAGCCCTATTCATGCTCGAGGGAAGACAAGCGGAGCCCCAGGCTCTGCAGGAGTGGGCTGTGCGCAGGAGAAAGCAGCTCAGTGCCCACCTCCCAGCCTTGTTTCTAAATGATCTCCCCCAACTCTGGAAGCAGCACAGGGACTGCAGGGCTGGTGGGAGGCTGGCTGTAAGTAATCCTCTCATTATCCCTACCACGCTCCGCTCCTCCTCCTGCATGTACAGCCAGAGGATGAGGTAACCCTGTGCTGTATCTCTAGGCACCAGCAGCAGCGTCTGCTCCTTCCACAAGCGAGTGAATGGCAGGGCATTGCCAGATGGCATGAACCCTGAGTCCTGCTGTCCCTTCATCCTTCCACAAAGCACCGGCGCTCATAGCACCACACTGAGCAGAGGGGTTCCCAGAGCATTCCAGGAGCTGCGCTCATGTTCCCGCAGCCTGTGTCTCACCAGCCCCTCCTCTGCGGCCACAGCTTCTCTCTGTTTCTCCGCACGGTGCAGACACGGAATCACAGAATGGTTCAGACTGGAAGGGACCTTAAAGCTCCTCCAGCTCCATCCCCTGCCACGGGCAGGAACCCCTTCCACTAGAGCAGCTTGCTCCAAGCCCCTGTGTCCAACCTGGCCTTGAACACTGCCAGGGATGGGGCAGCCACAGCTTCCATTCTCTAACCCATGTATAAACCTGCCGGGTGACAACCCTCAGCGCTGTTGGTCTGTGAATAGCTTCAAATCCCACCTGGTGTACAAATCCCCACACGTTCAGAGCTGTAGGCAGGACCTTTAACTACAATGCCCTGCAAAGAACTCATAGCCAGGAGTAAGTTTTTGCCCTGATCAGTGTATGAGTACAAAAGTGAGGAACCTACCAAACCAGATCCCTCATTAGCTGTGATATCAGAAACACCAGCACCACTCTGCCTGCATCTGGAGCAGACAAGTCCTCAACCTGGTTATGTTCCACAACCACCTCCTGCTCTCATGAAACCACAGAACAATGGAACATTCACCATAGATATCCCAGGTTTAGTATGATTTTTTGAATCTTTTCTCTGTAGAGCACAGGAAGGGCTTGGGGCAAAGGACAGAACAGGAGCAATAAATGGTGGCTACATGTTTTCAACTATACATTAATTTGCAGGTTTCTAGGACACTCCATGTGGTAAATCAGAACTGCACAGAGTTACTTTGAAACAAAGAGGCTAAACCCCATCTTCTGCTGAGCGCTAACACCACATGCATCTTCCCTGGTGTGAAGTCGGACATCCAGAGCCATGACCCAGGAGAGGGGCTCTACTTTGCAGAGCAAGGGCTCCATGTAAGGCTGCTGAGGAACTGCGCAAGGCAGCAGCTGAAATGAGTCAGCAGTGGATGTGACAGTCAGTTCAACAAAGGAAATCCTACTGTGGAACAGGAGAAGAAGCCTAAGGCAGGAAGCATTTGTTCACAGCACATGTCTGGGTAGGACTTTGCTTCCTACACACCATCAGTGCACTCCTGGGCTGCAGAGACCCCACTGCAGCAGGCTGTGGCTCCAACCACCAGCAGCACACACAGCACATGATGGTCCTCCAGACGAATGCCCCTACACACAGAGATGATGATTAAAAGGAGCCACTGGCCCTGCATGTGCTGGCAGAGACTCAGGGCTGGCTGTAGCAGAAATCTTAAAGCAAAGAAAGGAAATCTGCCAAGTGTTGGCAGTGATGAAGTCACCAGTATCTGCATAGATGCTGCTCCAGCACTGCCCTGCTCATCCTGGTGCCATGGGCTTGGTGTTCCTCAGAGGTGCCACAGGAGCAGCCCCAGAGAGACCCCACTGGGGGGGTCCCAGGCTGAGCACAGAGCTCAGCCTTCGGCCGACTTCTCTGCAACTTCCAGAAGATTCCACCATATCTGAGAAGATTTGGAGAAGCATTTTCACAGCATCACATAGCTCTGCAAGCTCTTTGTTCACAGGGATGTCCTAGAGGGGCACATCACTACAGGTAAGCAGCATATGGTATGATTTAGCTTTCCTCAGAGAACAGATATTCAAATATGTGTTCAATTTGAAGGCTGAAACAGCTGCTTTCCTTTTTGTCTCCACTCCTGTTTGCTCACCTCCTGCTGCCTTTGCAGTCAAACAGCTTTTCCAGTCATCTTCAAGCACAGCAATGGCTTCCTCCTGTGCTGGTTGACAACCTCCTTTCTTCCCTGCATCACTGGAAGCTCACAGGACATGTGCCCAGGAAACCTGCTCAGGTTTCCAATGGCAGGAGCTCTGGGCAGGGGTAAAGGGGGAGGAGGACTGGTTTCTGTGCCAGCAGCACACACCAGGCCCCGGCTGGCTGGAGGCCAGGGCTGGGGAGGGTGAGGCTGTGGGAAGGTACCTGCTTGCAGCCAGCTTTCAGACTCAGCCCAGGCGGAGAGGGAGCCGGTGCGGGCAGATCGGCACGGGAGCAGCAGCGCTTGGCTTGGTGATCAGTCATTGCCTTTTCTCTCCTCTGCTGCCCTTGCAGCCTGTGCTCACAGCACACATGCGCTTCGTTGCCCAGCAGCTCCTGCTTTGTGATTGTGGTGAATGAGCTACGAAAGGAGAGATCCGTTGAGGTTTTAATGGCCTGCCTTGAGGTTATACCGAGAAATACCTGAACTAACCTGAGCTGCCTTTGAATTTAACAATCCTTTTAACTGCCGATCTTTCAGAGTGTTTGGCTTCATGTGCTTTTCCTTAGGTGAAATTCTTGGAGCAGCAGCAGCAGGAAAGGTTGGATTAAAGGAATTCACAATCAGCTGGAACCATTTCCATAGCCACGGGGCAGCTGCCTTGGCCAAAGCCTTGGGGGTTGAAGGTGTTTTCACTCCTGTTTGTAAGTTCTGAGATCTCACCTGAAGCTTTCTCTGTTGAAAAGGATGTGAATTCTGCACTGTGCTGTCTGCCTGTGCCCTTGTCTGTCCAACTGCCACCTATGAGCTGCGATCGATTGTAGAAACTTTGGAACTAAGTAAAATCACCCATTGTCTATGGACATATTGCAGATGTTTTAATTTCTTTTTCTAGTTCTTCCCCTTTTTAGAGTCAAAATTACTACAAGGAGCAGTTTTATTTCATTTCACTCCTGGTTCACAAATCAGTACAGGAATTGTTGTAATCTCTGTACAGTTTTCACTAAAAGAAAAAAATCTCTCACTAAAATAAACAGTTTCTCCAGCCTCTGAGGCTGAAAGGGGCCACTGTAGTAATTTCATTTTCCCTCTCGTGTAATGCAAATCCCACGTGCCATCCAGGGACTGGTAGAGCAAGGCTCCTCCTGCCTTTCGGGCAGCGGAGGGATGGGGGGGATTTGTCCAAGGTTGATTCAAGTGCCAGGAGGTTGTCAGGGGTGTGCTCATGTCACACGATGGGCACACCTCAATGAGCCGGGGGTTTCCTCAATGGCTTTGGCAACAGTGGAGCAGATCCTCAACCCAGAGAAGCTGTGGCTGCCCCATCCCTGGCAGTGTCCAAGGCCAGGCTGGACACAGGGGCTTGGAGCAAGCTGCTCCAGTGAAGGTGTCCCTGCCCGGGGCAGGGGGCTGGGACTTTTAAGGTCCCTTCAACCCAAACTGTGCTGGGACTTGATCTGAAACAGTGGGTTTGCTATTGGGAAAGGCAGAACTGCTGTGCCCGGGTCGGGTGTTTCACTGGGCTGGGTGAGGGACCACAGCCCCGTGTGACTGCCGGGGGATGGAGGGGACAGCCCAGACTGGCCCCAGCGCCCTGTCCCGGGTGTCCCTCACGCCTCATGGTGCTGCCGCCCCTCCCTCCCTCCCCCGCGGGCCAGGCCCCGGTGCCGCAGGAGGCCAGATCACGCCGCAGGCCCGGCAGCAGCCAGGGCTCAGCGCTACCGCCGCCGCCATCTTCGGCCCAGGGCTGCCGCGCTGCTGCCATGGCGACGGGGCGGGGCTTGGCTCCGAGGGGCGGAGCCAGGCTCCGAGGGGCGGGGCCACGGTGCGGCGGGAACCGCGGCCGGGCCGTTGCGGCAGAGCCCCGGGAGCGGAGCCGCCATGGCGTGCGGGCCGTGCCGCGGTGTGCTGGACTACAAGACGGCGAAGTTTGCGGTGACGCGGAACTGGCGGGTCGGGCTGCTGCACCGCCTGCTGCAGCTCGGTGCGCTGGGCTACCTGCTCGGGTAGGGCGGCTCACGCGGGGCCCGGCCCTCCCGGAGGCGGCGGGGCGGCCGGGGTGTCCCCTCAGCGCGCATCGCCCCGCTGCCCCCCGCAGGTGGGTGCTGCTGGTGCGGAAGGGCTACCAGGACACCGACCGAGCCCCCCGCGCTGCCGTCTTCACCAAGCTGAAGGGGGCGGCGGCCGCCGAGGTGCGGGGCTCTGGCCGGCGGCTGTGGGACGCGGCGGACTACGCCCGGCCCCCGCAGGTACTGTGGGAACCTCCGGTGCTGAGCGGGGCGCGATGCGGGTCCTCGCTGACGGCGCCTCCTTGCCCCCTAGGGAGGAAACGTGCTTTTCCTGGTGACCAATTTCATCGCTACTGCCGGGCAAGCGCAGGGCACCTGCCCCGAGGTGAGTGCGGGGGGCTGCGGGGCTGGCGGCGTTGCTGCTCGGTCGCTTGCTCTGTCAGACCCACACGGGCACGGATCCGCGCAGTGCAGCCAGCACCATCCAAGGGACAAGGGCCATGCGCTGCTGGAGCTCGCCAGCTCTGGGCTTCCTGAGCGGTGGTGGCACTGTGTGGTCGCTGCAGGCTTCCTGCTGCCTTTAGGCAAGGACCGCTCGGGTGGGCCGAGCTGTTACCCTATTGCTGTTCCATCTCTGCAGGGCAGCTGGCACCAGCGCTGCCACCCCCAGCTAACATCTCTATTACCTGTGTTCCTTCTTGAACCTCGCATGTATTCTTGGTTTCTTGCTGCTACATTCTCTAATCTCTGACTTGCCTTTTTTCCCTGATGCTCTTGCACACCTGCCGTGGACATGGGTCATGTTTCCTTTATAATTCTGCTGCAGGACTGGAATCCTCTCCATCTTGGTGTTCTATTATTAGAAGGAATGGAGCACAAGGTTTGAAGGTTTCCCAGTCAGCCAGCACTTAATGGTATATGTTCTCTCGGAGAAATCTTCCCTTTAAGGCTGGATTCAGGCCAGCTCCTGCACCGAACTCTCTCAGGCTGCACTCTGCTTGGCAGACAAGAGCAGATGACTCAAGCTAAGCCACTGCCGGCACCTTGTGCCTGAGCCAAGCATTGTTTGTCCTAATGGACAGAAGTGTCTGTGCCACGTGGCACTTGCCATGTGTCTTGTTACCTGGACTGATGTGCTGATGTGCAAATATCTGTTGTGTGGGTCCCTCTGGAGGCTGAAGCCTTGACATCTGATTTGGATCAGGAAGACAAAGTGCTCTCATAAGTGCTTATTACAGCATTGCAAGGGGGTGTTGCAAGCTATGGGTGGACCATCAGTGGGAGCGAGGGGCCTGAGTCTGGTATCCAGCCCCCTCCAGCAGTCAGGCAGGACTCGCTGGTCCCTCCAGTAGTCCTGTGGGCTTGCTTCTGGACAGCCTGCAGTGCTGCCAGGCACATGGGCCCCTGTGACCAGTGGTCCCACTCCAGCTGCTGGCGCTCAGACACCCTTACACACAACGGGATAGAGCCCCTCAACCGGGAAGGTAGTTAGGAATGAAGCTGAGTCTGCAACAGGACAGACTACGCTGGCAAGGTGCAGCCCACTGTCATGACCAGCCAGCTCTGTACATGTACACCAGTTCTTTGCATCTTGTATCCCTCTGTTTTCCAATGTTTGTTCCTTCTTAGATTGCCTAGATTGCTGCCTTTTCCATGCCTTCCTCTTTTAAACATCCCATCCCCTCAACATCCTGTGCAATCCCGAAATGCTCTTCTGCATCCCATGATTCCCGTACCGTGAGACCATGACCATCCTGTCCTGTCCCCCCCAGTCTAAAGGTGCTTCAGAGCTTGTTTTAGTGGGTCTCGCACCTGAAACAAAGGACTGAGACTGCCTGGGGGGGTGGGGAGGGGTGGGGGCAAACAGACACCCCCACTCACCCCTCTTCTTCTGACTCCATAACTGGGGCTTCCCACTGCTTTCAGGCCTGGGGAGCTGGGTTTGTTGGGCTGGTGACTCTTGGGACAGCCTTGGGAATAGCTGGGGGAAGGTGTTGCACCCCCCCCCGCCTCTGTCTCTGTGTTAGAATAGGAGCTCCAGCACTCAGGTGGGTCCAGAGTGAGGGTGAAGCTTTCTGTGTGTGTCTCTTTCCATGTGTCCTGCTGTATGTAGGGTCTCTTCCCAGCGGAACTGTGCTGGTGCTTTACAAGGTGCCTAATGGGCTCTGCCATTAAGGCCTTCTTGAACCTAACGGTGGTTGTTCCAAGTCCCAGCTGAAAGATCCAAGCTAGCTCCTGAGGCTTCCTCTGCTTCCAGCATGGAGGAGGGAGACAGGAGGGAAGGGTTGCCCCGTGGAGATGCCTCTCTCCTCGCTGCCTGGAGCCTGCCCAGGTTGTGGACGTGGCAGATGTCTTCTATAAGTGTTTGGGACGTGCACAGAGGAGCAGGCGCAGCAGCACAGGGGTGTGGGTGAGTGATCGTGTGGCCTCGGGTGCTGCGCAGTGACAGCACATCTCTCTGTCTCTCTCAGAGCCCCTCTGTTCCTGCTGGGATGTGCACAGAAGATGCAGACTGTCCCATGGGAGAGCCAGTGGTTCATGGCAATGGTACTGGGTATTTTGCTAAATAAAAACCTCAACCATAAAATCATTGAATTCCTCACGTTTCATAACAAACAGGCCCACAAAGGCACCACAAGTTTAGTGCTTTCTGGGAGCATGCACTGAAGTCCTCTGCAGCCATCTGTTCTTGGCCCAACCACCCAGCGACCTGTCCTGGCTGCACGAGCAGGCACAAGGTGCTGTCACAGCAAATGCTGAGTGCTTTGTTTCTGACACTGGCTGCTGGAATTGAAACCAGTGTACTGTGTGATTGGCACATTTTCCTTTTGTAATACAGCCTGGCCATGGGGCAGAGCAGCAAACAGCACCTTGTCTTTGTATGACAGCATCCTCGAGAGAAGGTTTCACAGGGAAAGTGCTGGGTGGGTGAAAGGCTGAAGATGATGCCAGGGTTCTTTGTGGTTCAGAGCGAGCTTGTGGCCAGGGCACTGTCCCAGGAGAGGAGCTGTGGAGATGCTGTTTCAAAAAGGAAAAGCAATTATATACATCGTCTCCTTTCTAGGGATAAAAACTGGGAAATGTGTCATGTTCAACACCACACATTCCACCTGTGAGATCTATGGCTGGTGTCCCGTGGAGAACAACACCCTGTCCAGGTAAGGCATGGGCTGAGGAGACAGCAGGTTCCTTCCCTCTGTGTAACCAGGAGCCTGATCATACTTGCCCAGTGGGCAGCCAGGCCCAGGGAAACCTTTGACATTGATCTACCAGTCAGTTAAGATTCTTGTGACTGTCCATTGTAGCCACAGTCCTGGGATTGTGGCAGAGACTGGAGTGAGGGGAGCAGGGACGTGCCTTGGCCTCTGTGCACAATCTGAGTTCACCGGTGGTTTTCCAGGAAACCTCTTCTGGCTGAGGCGGAGAATTTCACTCTTTTCATAAGAAATACTGTCCACTTCACCAAATTCAACTTCTCCAGGTAAGCAGGACACCCCACAGCCCTCCCTGTGCCCACAGCCTCGCTGGGGTGTCCTGGAAGCCCTGTGCCATCACACAGGTGATGTTGGCAGATGTAAGAGCAATGGGATGGGGACCCCTCAGGGAGAGATCCTGGTGTCCGTCTGCCTGTGACACACAGAGGCCACTCATTCCCAAGGGCTCAGCTGTAATTTACTTTTCTCCTTAGTAGCTGGTGCAGTGCTGTGTTTTCAACCTTAGCCTTGGCACAAGGCTGATAACACACCAATGGTTCAGTTGTTGCTCAGTAGCACTTACTCCCATCAAAGACTTTTCAGTGCTGTGCCAGTGAGGAGGGGCATGGGAAGCTGGGAGGAAGCAGAGACAGGACACCTGACCCAAACTAGCCAAAGGGGTGTTCCATCCCACAGCACATCATGCTCAGTATAGAAACTGGGGGGAGTTACCCAGGAGGCCCAGATCGCTGCTCGGGTTGAGCTGGGTATGTTGGGGTGGGGCTGTTGCTGAGCAGTGTATTCTCTGCCTTTGTTATTTCCTTTATCATTATTATTCCTGGTGGTAGCAGTAGTGGTTTGTGTTATACCTTGGTTACCAGACTGTTCTTATCCCAACCTGTGAGAGTTACATTCTTTCCATTCTCCTCCCCATCCCTCCCAGTGTAGGGAGGGAAGTGAGTGTTAAGTAGCACACTTAGTTGCTGCTGTCAGCATTGTTCTCACACTAAAGTAAAAAACAGAGCCCCACCAGCTACTGAGAAGGAGAAAAATACCTGTTACAGCTGAAGCCACAACAGAGTGGCAGGACCACGGCAGGTGTGAAGGGTGGTAACTCCGTGTATGATTGCTCTGGGCTGGTTTCCCTTTACCCTCTCTTCAGCTGAGGCTTTACGAGAGGCAATGACTATTCCCCCTTGGAGCAGGAGCATCAGCAGTCCCACTCCAGCAGGAGAATCTCCTTTTCAGCCCTGCAGCAGGACTCTCTGACCTCCCATTCCACCTGTGATGGCTCCCCCCTCTCTCTCCTGTCTCAGGTGCAATGCTCTGCAGACCAATGACCCTTACTATTTCAAGAGCTGCACGTATGACCCATCCCTCAGCCCCTCCTGCCCCATCTTCCGTGTGCGTGACATGGTGGAGGCAGCTGGAGAGACCTTTGAAGACCTCGCACTGCTGGTACTTGTTCTCTTTAATATGGAAGATGACTCCAAATCCCCCATGGCTGTGTGCAAGGGACTGGGGGCAGGAGACAGGTCTGACCCGTGAATTGTTAAGGGAATGTGTTATCTGTGGCTGTTGGAACAGTGAAGAACTTGTCAAATCTCTGGTCCCCAGTGAAATCTTTGCTGCAATGTGTTCTGTAGGGAGGGAGCATCGGAGTTCGCATTGAATGGGACTGTGACCTGGATCGCCCTGCAGCTCACTGCCAGCCTCAGTACTCCTTCAGCTTGCAGGACAGGAGGTACAATTTCAGGTGAGGATGCTGGGACAGTGGCCACATGGGCCCATATGTTGAGCACACAGTGATCTTTTGAGATCTCAGTTTTCCTGATGAGTGCTCTGAAAGGAGCAGGAGGGACAGTGTAATGCAATAACAGTCCTGGGGTGCTGTGATAGCACAGCCACAGGGTGCAGGAACTGTTTAGAGCTGTGAAGGCATTTCCTGCTGGAGGGCAGGGACATGTGGCAGCTCACGGCTGTGCTGACCCTGAACTAGACACACTGGGACCTGCGTGCTCCCAGTGACCCCAGGCTGGGTGCTGAGTGGATGCTGATGTCCCCCTGCTGATGCCAAGCTAGTGCATCACCCGTGTCCCAGCCTGCTGGAGGATGAATGGTGTGCACAGGCACACGGCTCCAGCAGTCCCAGGCCACTGGTCCGCTGCCTGCACAGAGCTGCCCTGGCTTTGAGCCACGTCCAGTGTCTCCCACAGAACTGCCTCCTACTACTGGGACTCCCAGCGACGGCTCTACCGGACCCTGCTCAAGCTCTACGGGATCCGCTTTGACATCTCCGTGCACGGGCAGGTACTGCTGTCCCCGCCGGGCTGAGTCCCTCACCGCTCCTGCCTGCCCTCTCCTGCAGCCTTCCTGGCATGGCTTCTCACCCTGGTGAGCCCTTCCCCTCCTCCTAGAGTTTTCCAAGCAGAGCAGGAGATAATGGTCTCTCCTATATGAAGGGAAGTTTCTTGACAATGCCCTGAGCAGGGAGGCTTCCCTCACTGATGATGTGGGCGTCAGGAAGCACTGGGCCCTGTAGGCAAGGTGAGGTTGTCTGGGAGATCAGCCTGGAGTGAATGTGGGCAATTAATCTCTTCTTAGAATCACAGAATGGTTTGGGTTGGGAAGAACCTTAAGATCATCCAGTTCCAATCCCCTGCCGCAGTCGGGAACACCTACTAGACCAGGTTGCTCTAAGCCCCAGCCAGCCTAGCCTTGAATACTGCTAGGGATGGCCCTGTCAGTTTGAACCCAGCACCACTTGTCCTATTGCTACAGTCCCTGAATAAGAGTCTCACTCCAGCATCCCTGTAGGCCCTTCACATACTGGAGGCAGCTCTGATTTCTTGGTTTACTGTACCCTTGGGGAGAAAACCCATGGGCATAATGACGGCTGACACCACCGTGTGCAGTATTACTGACAAACTCAGCACTCAGCTGTGCCAGATGGGGCCTGTGCTGAGAGAATTTGCCACCTGAGAGATGTAAACAGCTGGTCTGTTATGCTTAGCAGTGGCCTTTCCACCTGAATAGGGTGAAGCAGGTGTTTGAGACAGGGTGCACCACTTCTGGGTTGTGAGATCAGGTCCAGGAGATGTAAAGCAGGATTGAACAGCCAGGGATGAGACAGGAGCCTGGAAATCTCTGATACCAGACTCATTGAGCAGGGGGGACACATCACACTAGGGCTGTTTGCTGGTCATGGGGATGTTCTGTGGGTGGCAGCTGCTGGCCTCCTGCAGCAAGAGGGAGGCTCCCACTGTGCCTGCAGGAGTAGGGGGTCACAGTAACCTCTGCTGCCACCAATGCATGAGCTGCCCCAGTCCCTTCTTTGGCAGCCAAAGGGGTTTTGAGTCGAGGTGATAGAAGTTGGGTTCATACAGCTAGCCATGGAGAACTGACCTTGGTGTCATCCAGCACATCCCTGGCTTTAATAAGTCTGCCAGCAGGGTTTGTTCCACACCTCTCACCACTCTCCACCCACTGTTCTTACCAGGCTGGGAAGTTCAGCATAATTCCTGCTGCTGTGAGCTTTGGCACTGGCATTGCATTCTTTGGTGCTGTGAGTATTCTCTATACGCGCTTCTCTGAGCTGTGGGTTGGGATTTGTCTCTCGCCCGTTGTTACCCTGCCTGCCCCGGCACACGGCTCCCTGGTGTCCAGATCAGGGTGTTAGATGCCCTTCTGTTGTGCTGCTGGGTCAAGGATCCTGAGCACTGCTGGGACACAGCTCATGGAGGGAGATGTCTGTGTGCCCCTGGGAAGAGGTGTTGCTGGCTGGTCTGTTCCAGCTGTCTCAGCCTGCAGGAGTGAGCACCTCCTCTGTGTGTCTGCCCTGACTAGAGGGAGCCAGTGTCCTGCTCCAGCATGGGCATGCTGTTGTGGTCATTGAGGTGAGGTAGCCTCTTATAGAGTGCTTCTGTGGCTCTTGCCCTCCAGCAGAGCCCTGGGGAGCCTGGATCCCCCTGGCCCCTCTTTCCTCACATGTGCTCATCCCAGTCCATGTGGCCCTGGCCTTGCTTTCCTGCATTGCTGCCCAGGTGATCTCATCTAACCTCTTGTGCAGCTCATGGGAGCAGGCTGGGTCAGAGACCTGCCTGGGTGGCTTGTGCTGGAGACAGGTCAGGTTTGCAGGGCTTGGTGGGAGCTGAGGCCTGGTTTTCCTATAGGAAGTGCTGCTGCTGACCACGCTGCTGTGCTTGTTTTGTCTCCAGGCCACGGTGGTCTGTGACCTAGTTCTGCTCTACCTGGATGCAAAGGCTGACTTCTATTGGAAGGAGAAGTTTGAGGAGGTAAGGATGGCGCCACTTTTAAGAGGTGAGGTTGGAGGCAAGTTTTGCAAGTAGGTTTAATCGTCTGCCCCTTGGTTAAAACTGTTCATGAGATCTGGGAAAACGCCACTTTAGCAGTTCTGAGTCTCAGTTGGTGGTTGGTCTGAGTGGAGCCTGAGACTAAACTCCTCCAAGTTTAATGCCAATAGGTGGCAGTGGAAGAGAGGGACCAGACCAGTGCCCCACCTGCAGGAAAACCTGAACCACAACCTCAACTCCTGTTAGAAAACAGGGAGTCCCTGAGAGGACCTTACCACAGAACCTGACCCAGCTTGACATTATTCATCTTCCAAACTGAAGCTGGCCAAACTCCATGTGCCAAGGGCAGCTCTCTCAGGGTGCTGGAGCTGTCAGCTCAGTGCTGCCCATCCTGGGGAACTGGGGGGGTCAGAAAGGGGTGTGCTGGGGAGGGGGGCTGCAGAGGAGGAAAGCTGCCAGCCTTGGCTTGGCTCATCTTCAGCTTTATCTGGCTAAGTTTTAGAAGCCTCTGAGGACACAGATCTCCTGGTGACCTGCCCCAGGGCTGCACCATTCCACTGAGGGGGAAAAGCTATCCCTAATGCCTGATCTGAGTCAGGAGTGGAGTGGGGATATCAAACAACGGATCTGGCCCATGGGACTGAGCAGAGCAGGACTCCCCACTTGGGCTTTCCCCTTCTCTCTGGTGCAACTGAGATGCTCCTGTTCATTTTGCAGGCAAAACCCCCCAAAGGTAAGAGTGAAGCTGCAGCTTAGGGCCATCGGGGACACTCCACCAGGCACCCTGTGCTCCAGAGCACCCTGGGGTAGATGTGATGGGGACACAGCTGCAGGCTGGGTGCAGGAGGCCCTGACCAGCACTGGTGTGTGTGTGCTGCTGAGCTGGGGCTCTGCCTGCCCTGGAGCTGCGTTTGCATCAGCAGAAGTTCTTGGCTCCTGGCGCATGAACCCCATGTGCAGCTCCCAGCCAGGCCTGGAGTGGAGCTGCTGTGGGGCCTCGGGTTTGCTGGGAAGCTGCTGGCCCATGCTTGCCACGAGAGGCTTGAAGCACTGCACTTCTTCCCCTTTCCCATGGCCGTGGGCCTGGAGTTCCTGTGAAAACCAGGGACCCAACAAAATAAAGCTGCTTGGAAAGTGGGAGGTGGCTCTGCTCTCCCTATAGCACTGGGGCTGGCTCCAAAGGGTTAGTGGTGCCCCTCTTGCACCTCCCAGCACCCTCGGTGATTCCAGCTGAGATGGGTAACCCACATCCTAGGAACCTCTGCAGGGAGCAGCAGGGTTATCCCCTCCTCTGCTGTGCATGGGAAGGGTTGAGGAGCTGAGCTGAAGTCAGCAGCCCTGGGCTGGGACGTGCTTGCTCCTGGTTCTTGCCCCCTGCCAGGGCTGATGATCTGGAGGACAAGTAGAGCATTTTGGGGCTGCTGAACCCCATGCTCTCCCCTTCCCCAGGCTGTGTGGGCCCAGTGGGGGAGGTCTGTGCCACGGGCTGCTCTGGACACCCTCGTGCTGCCTGGCTCACAAACACTGTGCAGCACTGGGGCCGTGAGCACTGTTTAATGCTCCCTGCTGGGGCTGACAGCGTGGGCTGGGGGAGTCTTGCAGCAGGGTCCTTCCCTGGCTGCCTGCGCTGACAGGTCCCGGCCGCCCTCCTCCCACTGCCGCAGGTAGAACTGTGCTGCCAGCTGCTTGCTCATGGTGCGCAGAGCCAGGAAGGCAGCCACGATCTCGGCCAGGAGGAAGGCCAGGAGCAGGCTGTGCACTGCCAGCTCCAGCGGCAGGCACAGGACCTGGCTGTCCGTCAGCAGGAAGAGCAGGAGCGGGAGCTGGATCAGGAGGGAGAGCAGGAGGAACCCGGCCAGCTCGGGTACCTGCAGGAGCAGAGCTGGTGACATGGGTGCAGAAGCCATCGGTGGGGTATGGAGACCACTATCCCACTCTGCTGGCCTTGGCACCTTGGGCACTGGGACATTGCTGCCACACAGAGCTGTGCCTGTGTGTATTCAGGCACTGTGAAGCCCAGTGCTGGAGCATTGCACCCATGACACAGGGAGGGGTACAGCAGGAGAGTGAGTGGGTCCCTTGTCCCCTGCCTCCAGGTCCTCCTTGCCCTTAGGCTTCCCTCCCAGGACGGCTCCAGACAGGACTCCAGGAGGAATGGGTTGTGATGGGTGCTCGGGTCCTGAGTGAGGGACCATCCAGCAAAGCCACAGCAACACCACCCCTCACCAGGAATAGGGGACTCGAGGCCAGGGCAGAGGTGGTGCTTACCTTCTCCTGTAGGTTCCCCAGGTAGCCCAGGTAGAGGCGGGAGCCCTCAACCAGCAAGAGGATGAGGAAAGTGGTGACCAGCAGGAACTGGTAGTGCCCAGGCAGGAGGTGATACTGGAACAGGGGCACAGCCTCATCGCAGCCAGCCCTAACACCTGCATCCCATGCCCAGTGTCCCATCCCCTGTGCACCATTCCTTGTGCCTCATGCCGAGATCCGTGTTGTTTTCATTCTGCCCTCCCACTTTAACCTTCCCTTGCCTAGAGTTCAGTGGTGGTTCTCATTTCTGGGAGCCAGAGAGAGCCATTGTGCCTTGTGGGGGACCCATTAAGCTTGACGAGGGTCCCCCCTCCCCTGCTCAGTGTGGCCCAGGCAGGCTGGGCAGGAGCAGGCTCAACCCCACACATGCTCCCTGGGACGGTACCTTCAGCTGCAGCATCATTCCCTCCGCCAGGCACCACGCTGGGAAGTAGCAGGCGTTGAAGTAGAGCATCATCTGGAGGGGCAGGTTGGCTAGCAGCTCGTGGGCTAGGTAGGGCAGACAGGGGTTGGGCAGGGCTGCTCAGCACCCGCATGGCCTCGCTGCCCCAAGGGAGCCCCTGCCAGGCTCAGGGGGACTCTGGGGAGCAGCTGCTAGCAGTAAATGCACTTATTGGTGGGTGGGTGCAGGGACCCCGCTCAGCAGCACCCGGGTGCTCAGTGAGGTGCTGGGCAGGCTCACAGGGATGAAGCGACACAGCCCCGCTGAGCCCTGCTGCGTACCTGGGCTGCACCTCTGGGCAGCGCCGCTGTCCTGCGTCTTGTTGTCCATGAAGAGGGAGCCGCTGAAGGCCACCAAGCCCCGGCGGAGGTTGGGGGGCAGTGGCGTGTGCGCAGCCATGGCAGCACTGAGCCCTGCTCGCCCCAGCGCGGCTCAGCAGGGATTAGCGGGGAGGGATTAAGGGGATGACAGGTTGGGCTCATGCGCGGGGCCACCGGCTCCCAGGGACAGCACGGCAGTCCCCTGGGGCGCCAAGGCCCCGGGGGAGCCACAAGGACACAGCATCTCCCCTCCATCACCGTGGTACCGACCACTCTGTCCCCAGCCCGTTCTCCCTGCGGGCAGCACCGGCTCTGCTGCACCCTCTCCAGCCAGGCTGTATCAACAGTTCCTGCCCGGAACTCCTTGACAATGATTCGGCCCGGAAGGGGATGATGCTTTTTGCCAGAAATGCTTCTTCAAAGCATCTCATCTCAGTCTCCCCTCTGGCAGGTTAAAGCCATTCCCCTTGCCCTGTCCCTACAGTCCCTTGTCCAAAGCCCCTCTCCAGTGCTCTTGTAGCCAAGTCCCGCTGCCCCTTTCTACAAAGGAGCTGTTTCAGCTGGACTAGAACATCACCCCATGACATGAGAAACCCCAGTCACCACCATGGCTTTCCTTAGGACATGTACTGGATCCTGTCCACCACCTTGGCTAATGCTTACCGGTGGTGAGCATGTCCTGGAGCTGGGCAAACCTGTGTTGTCTTCTCTGCCACCTCCTCTGGGACACCTCTCAAACCCCCATGCCAGGAGAGAAAGTTTCCATCTCTTAAGAAACCCCCTGTTCCCACTGGCAATGAGCACCAATCTCTAAACCCAGCTGGGGCTCAGGAAGCTTGTTCACAATCCCCAGCTGCGTGGCACCATCACATGTGGCTTCACCACATCACCCAGCTACCTTCCAGGACGCTCACCTGGGTTGCCCCCACAGATGTGACCCCTCCCCAGACCCACAGCTGGTGCTGTTCTGATGCTGGGCTTTTGCCTGTTGCCCTGCCCACATCTCACCCCATGTGCTGGCAGGACCCAGAAGTCACATACTGGGCACAGCACCCCTTCCCTTTCCGCACACCTGGGACCCCTTTGGTGGCACCACACCAAGGGACAGGGTTTTCTTAGCTCCTTCATGCCCTAAGCCTTCATTTAAAATAATCTCTGCTTCTCACTAGGCAGTTTCCCAGATACTGGAACTGGATAATCTTCAGGTCCTTTCCAACCCTAACTTCTGAGGCAGTTCTTCCCTGTGAGGGTGCTGAGGGGCTGGCACAGGGTGCCCAGAGAAGCTGTGCTTGCCCCATGGACCTAGGATGAGACTTGCACACTCACATCCCCTTGTGGATCCTGCAGATATGTAACGGCTCAAGAAGAGGCCTCTGCTGGCTGCTGAGTGCTGGAGCATGCACATCCTCATCTGCTGTCCCCTCTGGTCACACTGCCTGCGAAAAGCCTTGCAGTGAAAGCAGAAGAGCCAAAGCACATACAACTGGTGCTGTTTCTACCTGGCAAAAGTCTGGAAGTAAATCCAGATGACCTGGACACAAATGGGAAGCCTCCACAGCAGTGATTGCACCAACCGGCCAACCTGCAAGGATGACCCAAGGCCTTGGAAGGAACCGGAGATGATCCAGATCCCAAGAATAGCACTACTTTAATCCACAGAGGGGATCCAATTAAAAATATAAATCATCTTGCTCTGGGCTTGGAGTAAAACACTGACTGCGGGGGGAGACACCTGGGCAGAGCACTGGGGGCTCTCCAAGCGGGGTTCTTGCCCCCCCGGTTCTGCTGGGCTGTTTGGCACAGGGCTGTGGGCTGGCCAGGTCCGCTCCTGAGCTGGAGATAAGGTTCTTCAGCAAGGGGCAGAGAACACAACAGCAGAGCACCGGCATGGGAAGCCAAGATGAGAAATGCCGCCTTGTCAGGAGGCAGCAGGAGGGCAGGAGCAAGGAGCGATGGAGGCCGGAGGATCCCCTCCAGCTGCTTGTCATTGAGGAACATCTCATTCATCGCTCAGGACAGCCCAGGGCTGAGGCACTGCCCCAGGCTGGGGGCTGCCCTCACAGCTCTGCAGGGAGACCCCGCTCCACACTGCACTCACACCGACACTGACCAAGAGCTGCCCCAAAAGCTGGGAGCAGCTCCAGCCCCTCGGCTGTGCTGGCACGGGGGGTGCTGCTGATGCTGGAGACTGATGAGCTCTAGAGCCCTCGGCTTGGGCAGGGACCACCTCTGCCAGGGCTGGATGGGGCGACCAGCATGGGGAAGGGGCAAGACTCCAGCATGGGCTGTACAGAGACCCCCGGTGCGACCCCATCCCTGCCCGTCCCCACACTTCCTGAGCTGGATGGGCACGGGGACAGCCATGGCAGTGCTGAGCCATGCGGAGGGGGAGCAGAGGTCCGGCTCTGCGGGGATGCACATCAGAACTCTGTGGGAACAAAGGGGATTGGAGATGGGGCCACATGCTTGAAAGCACAAGGAGCAACAAAAGGCACGCTGCTTACAGGGGCAAGGGTCTTGCTGGGGACTCCCAGTCTGTTGTCAGCATCTGCAGCACCCGTGCCCACCACCAGTGCCGAGCCCTGCTCTCTGTGGGGGCTGCTTTTCCAGCATCCCATGGGAATTGCAGGAGCAGAGCCCCAGCCTGGGAGGCAGAGGGGCAGGGGGTGGTGAGTGCACAGTGACCGGGGCCAGGCTCATCTGGGTCTGAAGGGGAAGTGACTCAGCCACGGTGTTCCCACTCCTCTGTGGAGCTGCCAGCCCATCTCCCCACAGAGAGTGCAGCACCAGGAGGGCACAGCCACCAGCAGCATTAGGAGCCTTTTCCTGTCAGCCAGGACATGTCTCCAGTTCTAAAAGAGAAAACAAACCAGCAGCACTGTGAGATGCTTCCCAGCACGTGCAAGACTGTTCCTGATGCGTCTGGGCACTGCCCTCAGTGCTGGACACCGGTCCCATGGGCTGTGCCCCATTCTCCACCCTCACTCATATGTCGCTACACCTACCCAAAACATGATGCGCAGATCCTCAATTCCACCTCAAACTGAGCTCAAACAGTGGTGGTTGAGGTTTTTTTCCCCCAAAACAAGCCCTTCCTGCATTCAGCTGGGAATTCCTGTGGAAGTCACCCAAGGGCGGGCATCTCCCTCTCCGAGCAGCATCCCAGCCAAAAGGCAGCTGCAAAGGGGACATGGCAGCCACCCCCAGCCCCACACCCAGTGCACCCAGGATCCCAAACCGAACGTACTTGCCGTGACGAACAAACAGCCTGAAAGGAGCGAAAGCAGCGGGAGAGAAGACATTCAGGTTTAGGTGATCTGGCCTCCTCCAGGCTCGCTGAGCCCCACCACAAGGGCCAGCCAGGCTGCCCATGAGATGCCACCTCCCTCCCAGCCAGCAAGTGCTTCCCGATGCACTGGGGGCGTTGGGCATGATGCTGCCTGGTGGCTGGGTGGACCCTCAGCATGGTCCCAGGGGTGCCTGGTGCTCTGAGCACCACTGTCCCATAGGATCTGTGCAAGGATTTGGGTCCTGGTGTTCAAGACAAACGCCTTGTGTGCAGGGTGCGAGAGCTGGAGGCAGCTGGGGGAGGGGGTGGACAGTGACGGGGGGCCGAGTGAGCGGGGCAGGAGGCTACAGAGAGGGGAGCAGTGGGGGGAGCTGCCCAGTGCCGCCAGGGTCCTGCCCTGGGGTGCTCAGCCCTGCCCTGCACCCCCAGCCCCTGGGCCCCTGCCCCGGCACCGCCAGTTCCCACAGCACCACTACTTACTCCACATCGCGCTTCCGGATGGTCCTGCCGGCAGCCAGGACCTCGGCCACCTTGGACACAATGGGGTCGTAGTTCATGCTGGCCACAGCCACCACCTCGTCACTCCTAGGGCCGGGCAGAGCATGGGGTTAGAGCAGCCCTGCACAAGCACAGCTCCAGCACCCAGGAAGCACATGCTGGAGAGAAGCAGGAAGCGGAGAAGCACCTTGGACCCGTCTCAAGGTGTGGACACCATGGGGCCTGTGCTGATGGGGTGGGATGAGGGTCAAGAGAAGGCTGGGAGCTGGCACAGCAGGCTGGCCCCACCGTGTTCTCACACGTGTTGGCGTGGTGAGCATCACTAGGGTGCCCAGGGGATGGAGACAGTTTGGGGCACCCTGGAAGCTGTGGGAAAACACCAGCAAAGGTGGACAAACCCCTGGACATCAGCAGGGATGCCCAGTGGTTGCTGCCAGCCAGGGAGGTGATCCTGATGCTGCTGCCCTGTGCTGAGAGAGGGGAGAGGCAGGAGGTCAGGATTTCCCTGACAGCGTGCACCAGGAGGAGGAGAGCCCAAACCATTGGGTGGGCACAGCAGAAGGAAACACGAGGGGATTGTCCGTTTGGGGCAGCGTCCCCAATCAAAAAGCATCAGCACCAACCAGAACTGACACCAGATGAGAAGAGGAAGAAATGCTTTCACAGAGGCAGGGACTGGGACTGCAGCCGAGCAAAGCAGTGGGAAGGAGCTGGCCAGCACTCCCCTGCCACCTCTGGCTCTCAGGGGGTGATGCCACCCTGGTACCCAACAGCCATCTCCAGAGCCCCTCTTGGGTGGCAGAACGTCAGAGAACTGGGCAGCACCCCTGTGTGCCAGTGGGTCTGCCCAGGCACGCTGAGCTGGGCTGCACAGAGCAGGGATTATGCACCTTCTGTGGGGCTCTCCTTTGAAGGCTCTACAGATGTCTAATTAAAGCAACCTGACATTTCCTCTCTAATCGGGGCTGGAATAAATGGCTGAAAGCTCCAGCATGGAAAGGGGGAATCAAGGCTTCAAAGAAGATGATATGCTGGAAGGAAATGTGTACCGGGGCAGGTCGTGGGTGCCTGGCCCTTCGTGCTGCAGTGGACACGAGATGGGATAGTGCAGTGGCTGTGCGGTGGCTTCACAAGGATGCAGTGCACACAGTGCTGCAAACCCCTCCTGCAAAACCGCCAAACCCGGGGTTTATCCCCCCCAGCTGACACCCACAGAACAAATGGTACATTTTAAAAAGCTGCTTTGGCATTGTGTGATTTAAATGAACTTCAGAACAACGAGAGGGTAGGGAGTGACAGCCCCGTGGCTGAGGCTGGAGAAGGGGGATGTTCCCCTGCAGCAGCTATCCCCAGCATGGGCACAAACACACCCTGGCAGGAGGTTTTGGCCAAGGGGAGCTCAGAGGTGAACCACGTGCAAAGGGTGGCGGATGGTGGAGCCCTGCTGCCTGCAGCAGGTTTCTATCCGAGGCACCAAGAGAAGGAAGGTGAGTGCTGGGGACCTGGCTGCTCCTGCCATGGCCTGATAAAGGGAGCCCTGTGTCTCTCCAAACCTGGTGGCCACATCCAACTGCAGACAATGGGAGCAAGTGGCTGCTCTTGGAGAGGGGGACATAGAGGGGATGCTGTGAGGGACACTGGGCAGGGGACAGAGGGACGGAGAGCCCTGGTGGGATGAGCTCTGCCTGCTGCTGCCACAGGCGGTTTGATCGCTGTGCCCTGCAGACCTTCACTTCCCTGGTTTCACTCTCCCGATCCCCACATTAGAAAGCACTTGTAGAAATCCCGCCCGTCTCCAGGCATGAGGAGGACCCCGTGGCCACAGATTTCAGTCTGGGACAGGACAGGAGCAGCACAAGAATAAAGAGCAGCAGATATTTTGGGATAAATCACAGTGCACAGTCTTGCCGTGGCTCTCGTGGCTCAGGAACACTGGGGCAGCACATCCGGGCTGTCAGCACATCCCCGGCAAGTATTCCCAGCCGGGGGGGGGGGAGCTGAGTTCCACACAGGTGTAACACAAGCTCCTGAACTCTTGCTGACCTTCACAGCTTGTCAGAAGAGGGGGTTTGAGCTTAATCTGTCAACCCATGCCAGGAGCAGTGATACCCATGCTCCCAGCCCAGCCCTGGCCAAAATCATTAGCACAGTGATGAGACGGGGAGGAAAAGTTTGATGGGGATTTCCAGCAACCCATTAATAGAAGCTATTATCTGCTCTCAGACACTTTGTGAACAGACCAAGTGCTTATACCTGGCAGAGACATTAGGTCCAAAGACCAGATTAACTTGCTTTACTCTTAGCACATCGTTTCCCTGGGGCCCTTTATTAATGTCCTGCAGCCTCAGTGTCCAGAGAGGAACAAAGCCTCAGGCAGAAGCTCTGGCAAAAATACTTTTCAGCCTAACAGAACAAGCTTATTGGAACGTCTGTGGATGAATATGGAGAAGAGAAACACTTACTTGGTATAAAATGCCACAAACTTCAGTTCATCTAAATCTCCCTGAATGACAACATCATCAAATCCTTCCCCATGACCTGGAAGGCAGAGAAGAAGAGGTGGATTCAGCAACAATTCCCTAAGACAGGATGTTTCAATCCAGAGCTACAAGAAGAGCATCCTGCAGTCACCAAGAGGCCAGCACTAGATGAGGGTACCAAAAAGCACCCCTTCTTCTTCAGAGCTGAGAGACACTGTTCGTGCTTGGGCCACCCCCTGTGACCACAGCCATCCCTCTGGCCTGCACGCATGGCCATGAGCAGACCAGGTTTTGGAGGCAGGAAGGGAAGCAGACCTGAAGCAGAGGCTGGCACGAAGGGTCCGCAGCAAGAGAGATGGCTGTGGCTGCTCTATCCCAGCACACCTCCACCAGCACAAACCCTTCAGCAGGCTCAGGGAGCCCCTTACCTGCATATCGGATGCTCTTCCCGAACATCGCAGTCCACAGGTATGGGACTGTGCTGAGCTCCACGCCATGGGCCAGCATGTTCAGTGCAGCTACACGGCCTGAAAGAGAAAAGCAGCAGAGTGAGCAGGGCAGCTCTGTGCTGGGGCAGGTGTTGTGCTCTGCCCTCAGCCACAGGACAGCATTGACATCTCCAGTCCCAGAGTACAGGGAGACCACGATCTTCTGCTTAGGGGAAATAAAAGATTACACAGCAACAAGCAAGAGTACCAACAAGAAAGCGCAATGCATGGCATCGCCCAGGCCTGGGCTTGGACTCCTCCCCGGCACTGCAGCTCCTACTGACCCATCACCTCCACTGACATGAGCCATGTGCTACTGAGCCTGGTTCAACACAGCTTCTGTAACAGTGGCAGGGCTGAGAGCTCGCTGAGCTCCCACCACAAACAGGGATGGGATGGATAACCACCAGCACCACCCCCGAGGGCATAGAGGCTGTTAGGGGACAGTCCTTACCCACAGAGGCATAGAACCATAGAATCACAGAATGGTTTGGGGGTTGAAAAGGAACTTAGGATCATCCAGCTCCAACCCCTGCCACGAGCAGGGACACCTTCCACTAGAGCAGCTTGCTCCAAGCCCTGTCCAACCTGGCCTTGAACACTGCCAGGGATGGGGCAGTGGGCACCCTGGGCACCTCCCCTGGGCACCCTGTGCCAGTGCCTCAGCACCCTCACAGTAAAGAACTTCTTCCTTATCTCCAACCTGAACTTCTGCTGTTTCAGTTTGAACCCATCACCCCGTCCTATCGCTATAGTCCCTAATGAAGAGTCCCTGTCCAGCATCCCCTCTGGAAGCTGCTCTGAGGCCTCCACGCAGCTTCTCTTCTCCAGGCTGAACACCCCCAGTGTTCTCAGCCTGGCTCCATACAGGAGGTGCTCCAGTCCCCAATCATCCTCATGGCATGTCTGGGCCAGCGTTAAAGGGGGCTGTGTCCAAAGGCTAATGTTGGAGGTGTGGTTCCAAACCTTCTCACCTAGGACACCCTCACAGAGGTCAACCTCCTCATGGGGTTGGAAAGCTTGAGGGCAGACGATCACACCAGGGTTTTCAGGCTTGCTGGCATGGAAGGGAGAAAGGTCTCAGGCATTGTTAGGCAATGCACGTCAAGAGGCTGACAAACAAAGGCATAGAACAGCACCAAATACACATGCTTCAAACTGTTAAACACAACTACCCAGCTCCCCTGCTGGCAGTTGCCTCATTCTCTTGCCAGTGGGTTTGGAAATCTCCTGAGGGTATGGAAAAGGCTCTTTCCCATAAGCAATTTGCTGTTGTGAAGCCAAGGGGCTGTGAAGCACCTACCGTGCATGTGGGCCATCTGCCAGTGAGGGACATTCACCTTCTTATTATTCCTCAAGGACAGTGGGAATGTGACGGCGTCACCGGCCGCAAACACTCCAGGGACGTTGGTCTGCATCATCTGCAGGAGGAAGCAGAAGTGGGCGTCAGTGGGGTCTGCACCCTCCATGAGCAGACACAGGGAACTGCTCCAGAGCTGTGCGGTCCCCAGAAACACCCCGCAGCCTCTGCTCAACTCTGGGAGCCCGTGGGGGGATTTGATCCACCACTTCCCACGCAGACCACAGAGACAGCCTGCCAGGGGGATACCCAGTAAAGAGACACATGGATTGGTGTCCTGGAGCCCCTCTTAGAAGGCTGGGGTCTGACAGGGTTTGAATTAGAGCCTGGCTCATTGCACATATGAGCAAGGAGCCCCAGTGCCCCGACACGCTCTTGCCTCATAGCACACACCATCCATCAGCACCAACACCACTTGTACTGGAGTCGCTGGTGGTGATGAGGGAAGATGAGATCCTCTGGGATCCTTGAAATGATTTTTCCCCAAAAATACCCACACCATCCCAGGGCAGCTCAGGGCTGGACCCAGGCCACAGCACCCAGGGCTGCAGGGGAGGTCCCGGGCGCTCCAGCATTGTGCATCTTGGATAAACCCCCCCTGCAGCACCAGTTTGGAGCTGCAAAGAAGCTCATCTTGGAGGAGAGCACTCAGCTCCTCCTGCTCTCCCCTGGCAGGGGCTGCCCTCCAGGCTCACCTTGTTGACCACGATGAAGCCTTTGGAGTCGATGTTTATGCCACTCTGCTTGAGGAAGCCCGTTGCTGGGACTGCACCTGTGGGAGCAGGGAAGAACTGCTGGCATGGCAGCCGGGCACCCCCACAGCCTTGGGGTGACCCCCAGGCCACACATCTGTCCCTTGCCTGGACAACTTGTCTATGCCAAGGGAAAGGGGCCCTACAGAGCCCCACTGCAGTGGGAGCACTGCGCAGAGCTGGCACATCACCACCACCCTCCAGGACCCACTGCTGCCACAGCCCCTCCACCAAGCAGAGTCGCAGCGGCCCCATGGGCTCTGCACCTGCAGGTACAGTCCCTTACCAATGCCAACAACACACACGTCAGCACGCAGCACCTTCCCGCTCTTCAGCACCACCTCCTTCAGCTGCGTGAGACATGGGGGGGACAGCACAGTTATTTTAGGACAAAAAAAAACCCAAACCTGTAATAGGAACATGCCAAACTGACCGCTCACTCCACTTCTGACCTGCAGTGTGACCATAACCCCTTCCAATGGCAGCAGGAGGGTGGGAGCAATGGCACCACCCTGCGTGCCACACTGGAGCACGATGCTCCTGGGGGACAACCCCCAGGAATATGAATTTCTGGGCTAGGAAAGCTCAGAACCTCAGCAATGAAGAGAGCAGCGCCCCGGGGGGAGGCTGTGGTGGTGACCCCGGTGAGCCCCTGCCCACACCATACCTTGCTCTCCTGCTCCCGCAGCTCTGACACCTCTGTCTGCATGTAGAACTTCACCCTGTTGCTCTCAAACATCTGGAGGGGGAACATGGGACAAAGCAGGGGACATCAGGACCCCAAATCACCACTGCTCCTGGTGTTCCTGTGCCCCCTGCACTGCCCTGACCACCCTCTGGACTCTCCTCAACCCGTGTTGCAAACAGGGGTCAGCACCAGCTCCATCCCCAACATGTGTCCAGAAGAAGGTGTTCTATAGCACACATGGATCAAGAGAGGGGAAGACACAGCCTGTTCGTCCTGTCTAGTCACTGCTGCCATCACAGCTTAATCAATAAACATCAAATAATAAATTAGTGCACCGAGTGAGACAAGCAGAACCCACTGTCACTAAAAGCAAAGCAAGGGTGGGAAAGCAAGGTCACCTTCATGACAGCACGGCCAACCCTCTCCCCAAAGAACTTCTTGAAGGGCACTTCCTCGAGCTCCACCACGGACACCGAGTGGGCCCTCTCCGTGAGGTAGGCGGCCACCTCCATCCCTGGGGAACAGAAACAGGTCCAAGAGCCAGTGGGGACAGCAGCAGAGGAGCAGTCTCTCCCCATCCCAGCTGAGGAGGCTGAAGCTGGTCTACAGGGAGATCTGGAGTTCCAACCATCTGACTGGTTTGGGCTGAAGGGATCTTGAAGCTCCTCCAGCTCCAACCCCTGCCACGGGCAGGGACACCTTCCACCAGAGCAGCTTGCTCCAAGCCCCTGTGTCCAACCTGCCCTTGAACACTGCCAGGGATGGGGCAGCCAAAGCTTCTCTGGGCACCCTGTGCCAGCGCCTCAGCACCCTCACAGAGAAGAGCTTCTGCCTTATATCTAACCTAAATCTCTCCTCTTTATGTTTGAACCCATTCTCCCTTGTCCTATTGCTACAGTCCCTGATGAAGAGCCCCTCTCCAGCATCCTTGTAGCCCCCTTCAAATACTGGAAGGCTGCTCTGAGGTCTCCACACAGATTCTCTTCTACACCTGGGGCTGGAAGTTGGACAACCCCAAGGTCCAGTTTGGGCAAGGGGTTACCTCTAACCAAGCAGTGACAAACTGTGGAAGGGACTGGATAAAGTCCGCAGGGAGATGGGACAGTGAGACATGGACACTGCGGAATGAGCGCTCACCCAGGAAGGATGCTCCCACAATAACCACGTTCTTGCTGGTGGCCAGCTTCACCACACGGCTGGCATCTTCAGGTGTCCGGATGTTGAAAACATTTTCCACCTCCTTGCCTTTGCAGCTGAGAGCTTTGGGCCTGAAAAACACACATTGAGGACAATACAGGTGCTTTTCTTGACCCCATGTTGGCAGCTGGGACTGGAGACCTTCTTTCCAGGACTCCAGCAGCATCTCAGATCTTCCCTTTTTCACCTTTCTCTGGGCTGGAGACATAACATGGAAAACCCCAAACGCTGGTGGGCCATGGGCAGAGCTGTCTTGACCCCATCCATGGGCTGGGGAGCCCTCGGGGTGGGGTGAGCTCAATCCTGGGCACTGCAGCACAATGCAGGCTGGGCACGGCTTTGAAAGCAGTGAGGGTGGTGAGAAACTGGCGCAGGCTGCCCTGTGCCAGAGAGCAGATGGATGCCCCACCTCTGGAGACATTCCAGGCCAGGCTGGATGTGGTTCTAGGAACCTGCTCCAGGTGAAGATGTGCCTGTTCATTGCAGGGGGTTGGACTGGATGAGCTTTGAAGGTCCCTTCCAACTCAAACTATTCTGTGATTCTAAGCCTGTGTTTCACTGCTGGCATGCTGTAAAAATTTCCAGAGCTTAATGGGACACAGAAATGTCACTGTGTGCCCCAGCAGACACTTTGGAGCCAGACACTGAACGATTCACAACCCTCTGGAGATGCAGGTTCCACTATCTGTTCATAGGAGCATGCTGCTGATGCTGTAGCAGTTTATTCTTGCCCTCTCCATGCACTTAGTGGAGCCTATGTATTTTTAAACATCTGGCCCCTGCATCCTCAACTCACACCTGGAAATGGGACAGATGATCCTAAATAATTCAGGTACCTAAAACATTTACCCAGTGTACCTGGAGCTTGTGCATAAGGATTTTGACATTACCACTGCATCCTCCTGAGCCCAATTAGGCAACTAGTGCAGATCCCAGCACTAGCCCTTAGCATTTAGTGGGGCTTTTCCTGTTACTGGTGGCACAGCGGGTGGCAACAGGAACCCCTGCTCTGGCTGTTCTACAGCATCCCTTTACCAGATTAAATTCTGCAGGGGCTGCACTTCTCCTACTTTGTTTTGTGTCCTGGTGTTGGGAGCCCAAGGAAAGTGAGCCAGGGTGCCTCACTTTCATCTTAAAGTGCCAGTTTTGACAAATCCCATACAGAGAACAAGTCAACCCAGTACTTCCAGGGTGGTGCTCTCGGGTGACACAGAGGTGACACAAAGGTTTTTAAGCTTTGGCTGAGCAGACATACCCAGCGCAGATTTATAGAGATACATATTATATTGATCATATAGATACGGTTATATCATAAAATCATAGAATAGTTTGGGTTGGACAGGACCTTCAAAGGTCATTTAGTCCAACCCCTCTGCATAGATACAGAGATGATAGAGATATAGGTTATGTAGATATACAGATAGATATATAAAGATGGTATAGATATACCCAGATAGAGATATAGATAGATGATAGATAGATAGATAGATAGATAGATAGATAGATAGATAGATATACAGATTTATCCAATAGTTATCCCTTGCTTTTCCTGCAAGCAAACATTCTTTGCAAACAAATTCAACCACTACATTTGACCCTCATTCCCAGGCACAAGCTCCTCACATTCTCAGATATAAGTTCCTCTCACTCTTTAAAATGTTTGTTCATAGCTTACGTATTTCCCGTTGCTATCAGCAGCTTGTTGTATTCCATCTTAAATCCATCCTTGAACACAGCTGTCTTGTTCTTGACGTCCACAGCCGCAACCTGAAATCATTCCTAAAATATGTTAAGGGATGAAACGCCAGCCATTCACTCAGCTCCCAGCCCAACCATAGAATCATAGAATAGTCAGGGTTGGAAAGGACCCTAGGATCATCCAGTTCCAACCCCCTGCCATGGGCAGGGACACCTCACACTAAACCATGGCACCCAAGGCTCTGTCCAACCTGGCCAGGAATGGAGCATTCACAACCTCTCTGGGCAACCCATTCCAGTGCCTCAGCACCCTCACAGTAAAGAATTTCCTCCTTATATCCAATCTAAACTTCCCCTGTTTCAGTTTTAATCCGTTACCCCTTGTCCTGTCACTACAATACCTAATGAAGAGTCCCTCCCCAGCATCCCTATAGGCCCCCTTCAGATACTGGAAGGCTGCTATGAGGTCTCCACGCAGCCTTCTTTTCTCCAGGCTGAACAGCCCCAACTTCCTCAGCCTGTCTTCATACAGGAGGTGCTCCAGTCCCTGATCATCCTCGTGGCCTCCTCTGGACTTGTTCCAACAGTTCCATGTCCTTTTTATGTTGAGGACACCAGAACTGCACACAATGCTCCAGGTGAGGTCTCACCTCTCTGCCACATGATGAGCTGCACTGACTGTAGTTTGGAATAATCACAGGCAACCTGTGTTCTGTGCTGGGGGAGACCCAACATTTCTGCAATGCAACCAGTGCGCTACAAACAGAGCCAGCTGCCACATCTGCTAAACACAGCCCTTGTGTGTCAGCACCTGCAGAAGGTGGCCTGCACGTACACACAGCACTCTCCTTACCTGCATTTCGGTCAGGACTTCAATGTCGTAGCTGCGGAAGAACTCCTTGGGGCGCAGGGCAATCTGCTCCGGGTGGGAATCCATCGACTGGAAAAAAGCCATTCTCCTGTCAACCGCTGCGGTTGAACAGGCAAGGGGAGAAATGCCTGTTGTGAACCCAAGTCAATAGCCTGAAGTCAGTCTGTATGGCATGGGCTAAAAGAGTTGATACACAGTGGCTGGAACCAAAGTCTGGTCAAGTAAAAGTCATCACAAGATGCCAGACTGATTCCTTCTTCCTGCTTGACACTGGGGTGGCACTGACTGGCCAAGGAAGGACTACAGCAAGCGCTTTTGGGTGCAAAGCGGCTCTCACTGCAGCTCCTCATAGTCCATAGGGACGAAAGAAAACACCCGTTATTTGGAAGACAACCAGCTGGAAAACAGCAAGATCCTTATCGCTGGAGCGGCACAGTCAGGGGCCGGGATGAGCCCTGCAGGACACCCCCTCACCGTTACTCCAGGTGACGCTGTGCTCAGCAGAGACCCGTATCTTGGGACCTGAGGCACGGGCAGGGTCATACAGATCTTACTGCTAAGTCTTTGAACACGCAACATTTACTGAGAGGAACGTCAGACCCACAGCTCAGGAGCACATGCAGGGAGAGCAGTGCAGGGCAGTGCACAGCCACCATGGGTTTGCTCCTGCTCAGTGCTCCAGAGACCATGGGGATGGTGCAGCACACCAGGGAGCAGGTCATGGTCCAAAGGGGACAAAGAGGAGCAGGCTGGTGGGACTTTGGGGCAGACTGGTATCAGCCATTCAACAAGGCAGATGAAGGACAACGCTGCAGTTTCCAGGAGGCAAGAAGTCTGCTGCTTACAGCTTTACATGCTCCTCCTCCAATGACTCTTTCCAAGGTTGATCTCACTCACTATAGGGTTAAGAAGAATCCCCTTTGTTTTCTAGCCTGTTCCTGAAAATTTTGCCTCCTCTTCCATGGGCTTTGTGCACCTTCCCAAAGTGACTGTGTTGAGTGGAGAGTTTAACAGACCATGCAGAACATCTCTGCTGTGTGAGAGGTTCTTACTATTTAATGGCAAGTGGAAAAGGCAGTCAGAGACTCATGGTGGGGATGAATGTGGGAAGAGCTGCCTGGCTGGGACAGGCACTGTGAGCTTCTCCCAGCTCCCCAGCCCATCCCTGTGACTCCTGGATGCAGGTTTCAGGCAGCTGCTCCTCACCCCAAGTGGGACCTGTCCAAGCACAGGAACGGATCGAATGTTCTCAGAAAGTCATGTGTATATATGCCTTCCTTTGAAAATCACTTTGCCTTGGGTCTGGAAGCAGAGTCAGAGCAACCCTGCCAGAAAGGGTAATACATACACTGCCTGTTCTGAGGTTATCTCCAGTCTCTGAGACCAAGTGCTGCTGTCCAACCTGAGCTGCTCTCTGGTATCATGTAAAACTTAAGAATCAGTAATAAAAAATGCAATTAGAAGATCATCTTGTGTCTACAATAGAATGAAAACTGAAATGATTGACAGAAAAAGTGATCTTTGCACTGCAATCAAGTTATCCAGTTGTGATAGTGACTGATAATCCCAATAATCAGGGCATGGAGCACCGCTGCGCAGGAACTGTGCAGTCATTAAAGACCTGGCAGACAACACATTTTTTTCACATGTCCCATTTCATAGCCCTAAAGATTTTGATCCAGAAACATGATAAAAGGATCCATCCAGGTGCAAGCTGCCCAAGTCACCTATAGGTAGGCCTGTGAAGAATCATGGACTCATAGAATGGTTTGGGTTGGAAGGAACCTTAAAGCTCATCCAGTTCCAACCCCCTGCCACCGGCAGGGACCCCTTCCACTAGAGCAGCTTGCTCCAAGGCCCTGTGTCCAACCTGGCCTTGAACACTGCCAGGGATGGGGCAGCCACAGCTTCTCTGGGCACCCTGTGCCAGCGCCTCAGCACCCTCACAGGGAAGAACTCCCTTGTTCCTGTGCTGGAGCACTCAGTTCAGAGGTTTAACAATTCCTGTTATGTTTCATATTTCAGTCAGCAACAGAAAATGAAATTCAAGGGGGAACCAGAGTTGGGATGAACAAGGAAGAAGAAATGTGCTGCCGCAGTACATGGGGAAAGGTCCTAGAGCAAGTTTTAAAACAGGGAAGGAATGTGACATTCCCAAAGTGATACAAACCTTACTGAGCTTCGGTCTGTCGTAGGGGAGGTGTCTGTCCATCGTGCACATCACAATCCTGTCTGAGAAACCCTCCTGGCGCAAGGTCTCTGCACAGAGCAGTCCAGCTGCCCCTAAGGGAGAAGGAAGACTGGTGGCAGCAGTGCAGTGGGCATCTGAAGGTCTGAACCCTTTGCTCCTAAACCCCACCAGCTCTGCTGCATGCCAGCACAGCTCAGCTGACTTCAGGGACACAGCCTGGCTCTCAGTCAACCAGCTTCGTTTCCAACCCATTCCAGAAACAGGCAAACTCAGTAGATGGGATTCACTCCACCAAACTCCATTCACTCCAGCTTTCTACAAAAACTGCATTACACAACTGGAGCTGGGACAAGAGGAAGAAAAGAAGTTGGCAGGTTTGCTATTTCATGCAGGAATTTGCTATTTTCTGGGAAGATGGAAGAATTTATCTTCGGAGAAGCATCTTGGGGTGAGAGGTTTGGAGCTACAGGCAGCTGCAGTGGGCTGAGACAGAGATGTGCAGGCTCCAAGAGGAAAAGGTGTATCCACATCACAGGATCACCTCAGAGGGCTTTACACTTACCAGCTGTGGAAATCGGGGGTTACTGGTGTACGTGGGGAGGGTGCAGAGGGAAGAGGGTTCAGGGCACCAGCTACGAAGGGAAGCACAAAGCTCCACAGAGCAGGAGGGGACATACATGGTGGTTCCAGCATGTGCCACACAATACCTGCGCCGATGATCAGCACATTGGTGCTGCTCAGGTTATAGTTGCTCAAGGAGATGCACTTTGCCATCACCTTTGTCCTCCTCTGTGTCTGAAGAGCCTATGCCACCAACAACAGGAAGAAAAGTCATTATCTTTTCCCAGCTTTAACCTGGGTAGCCACATTATTGTCATAAAGCACCTTGAATCAAAAGGAAACTGCACCTTTGTAGCCAGTGAGGACTGCAAACCCAAGCACATCCAAATACCCTCCCACCACCCGGTGTATCACCCCTTTACAAGGTGTAAAAGAAATATTCATCCACTGCCTTCTGCAGATTGATCCAGGTACACAGAGCTGGAGAGGGGGGATAGAAGCAGCCCAGGTGTGCCCAGGTGTGTTCTTATGCACCTCTGCAACCAACAGGCAAGAGGGAAATGCAGAACTCCTGTCAGGAACTTTATCCTGCACCTGAGCAAAATTTGTGCACCTCTGATATCCACAGGAGCTGATGGACTTGTCCAGCCTACCAGAGCGCACCCAAAGACCTATGCCACTATAGCCCTGCTCGCAGACCCCCTCTTCCCAGCCATTGGAAGGCAAATTTCCTCTACCATTTGTGGTAGAGGAAATAGGCTCAATCTTCCCCATCATATCCCACCCAAATAAGCTGGTGTAGGAGTGCTGCCATTCAGGTGACCTCTCTGGACCTAACCCAAGTGCTGTATGGGTTCTTCTTGTTCTGAGCCACTGGACTCACACACGTGTATGTGCAAATGTGCATCAAAAGAAGGCTTCTAGTCGAAAGAAAGGTGGCAGTGGCTTGAATGGGCTTCACATCTGGGGGGATGAGAGCCCTCCTTGTTCACACCCCAGAGGGAGCACAGATGACGTCTGTCATTGCCCTGTCACATTCAGACCCAGCAAGGCTGCTGGAAGAGTCCTGTTTCCATGGGCCAACTAAATTTGACGTTGCTGTAAGCGTAATGAAACATGAACAAATCCAGGACAAACGGCCAGTAAGAGCTGGATCCGTGGACACCCCGGCTCAGGCTTCAGCAGCTGCGGGCAGCTGGGAGGGGGACACACCACCTCTGCCCTGCTCCACTCGTGCCTCTGTACAAGCTGCTGTTTGAGACAGGACCACGCTGGGTAAATCTTTGGTTTACCCATGTTGGATGCTCGTGCATCCTCCTGTTCAGGCACTGCTTCCCCTGCCACAGGACCAGAAGAAAAGCATTTCCCTCCACCCTGACACACACAGAGCAGAAACCAAAAGCATGGGGCTTGATTCTGGGGTGCCAGTGGCCCCTTACCTGCTTGCTTGCTCGGATGTACACCTTCTCCTTCTCGATCTTCACCTGAGGGTGACAGAAGAGCAGCGGTTTGCAGGGCAGTGAATGCCTCTGGCATGAGGAGGGTGATTGCTCCCTCTGTGAACAGCCCATGAACAGTGCAGTGGTCCCACCGGTCTCCTGTGAGAGCAGCTCAGGCCACGGCAGGATTCAGCCCAGCTCAAGGCTGTGGTATTTTTCCTGTCTCATATCAACTGTGCACTGATGCTCAGTCTGAAACCTGATTTCTACCTCTGGCTTTTGGCCGATTCCTCAGTCCCACCCCACTCCTGCTCAAAGGCCTCCCAGACGGTGCACCTTCACCTCCGGGTTCCCAGTGCCCACGGGCGGGAGCAAGGGGAGCACCTCTGCGATGAGGAAAAGCTGGGTTTGTGTTATTCAGCCTGCAGAAGGCTCCAGGGAGATCTTGTTGCAACCTTTCAGTACTTACAGGGGGCTTACAGAAAAGATGGGGACAGACTTTTTAAAGAGGCTTGTAGTGATGGGACGAGGGGTGATGGTTTTAAACTGAAAGAGGGGAGATCTGGACTGAACAAAGGGAAGAAACATTTTACTGTTAGGGCGCTGAGGCGCTGGCACAGGGTGCCCAGAGCTGTGGCTGCCCCATCCCTGGCAGTGTTCAAGGCCAGGTTGGACACAGGGGCTTGGAGCAAGCTGCTCCAGTGGAAGGGGTCCCTGCCCGTGGCAGGGGATGGAGCTGGAGGAGCTTTATGGTCCCTTCCAACCCAAATCAGGCTGGGATTCTGTGATTTCCTCTGCTTCTGCAGAATGAAGGTCTCACCTGGAACCTGGGTAAGCTGTCCAAGCCAGGGAAGTCCTCTATGTCACCTGTGCTGATGTTGAAGCAAGCTCCATGCCAGGGACAGCGGACTCTTCCTTTGGACAAAACCCCTGCAGGGAACATGGCAATGCAGAGTTGGTGCTGCCCTGCAGCTGTCTCCTGTCCCTGCCTGCAGCCCACGGAGATGAAGCTGCTGTGACAAGGCCAGGGCAGGGTGGCAGAGGCAGGTATCCCTCCGTTGTCCTCGTGGTGGTGGAGTCCTTGCTTTCGACTGAAGCAGGGCTGACCTCCTGACAGCTGAATGTTGGTGCCCAGGGCCTCCTGCAGTGGCAGGACCTGTCCTCCTCAAAGTTCACACTCTGACATGTCCCCATGACTCTCCTTTACCCAGAGGTGTGACCTTTCCTACAGGACGTGTGGCAGCTGTTGTGGACCTGGATGCTCAACAGCATCTTAGCTACTTGATGTGGAGTTATCTTCCCTCACACATGGGACTGCAGTAGAGGCTGAACAGTTATGAACTGGGATGCTGAATAAGCAATCCCAGCTGGAATGCCCTCACTGACAGTGCCCTTCCAGCACATCGGAGCACAGCTCCAGAGCTGTCTGCTCTGCCTGGAACATAACCTTGCTCTGTGGCAGGGCCTGGGGCTGCAGCCTTCAGGCTCTTGTCATTGCCTCCACAAGCCCCAGGAGCATGCAGAGCAAGCAGCGCCTCAAGCAGAGCACCACTTGTTTAGAGCAGGAGTGTTTCAGAACAGATCCTGGCACAGCATGGGGCCTGCCCACTGCCAGGGAAGCACAGGACATGCTGGAGCCACCAGCTCGCTCCTCACAAGTGCTTGCTCAGAGGCTGCTACCTTGGACTTAGGCCTTTCCTGCCCAAAAGCTCTTGTTCTCAGCCCTGGGGCAGAGTGAACAGCTACAGTCTGGCCATGCTGGACTGGTCCTGTGCTTGCACCTTCCGTTGCCAAGGCACAGCAGTGCCACATCTCATCACCCACATGCTGGGATGCAGGAGCAAGTCCTGTATTCCCCAGTGAGATCCCTGCGTGAGCAGCCAGTCTGCAGTGTCAGGGCTGTGACTGCAGGTCTCTGAAAGGCAGACGGGCTTCTCTGCCCTGAGAGGGGCTAAGAGCATCCTCTCCTGCACCCAGCACTGTGCAACATGGGAACCCACTTCAACACCCCACCATCCCACTTCAACACCCCACCATCCCACAACATCCCACCATCCCACAACAACATCCCACCATCCCACAACAACATCCCACCATTCCACAACAACATCCCACCATCCCACAACAACATCCCACCATCCCACAACAACATCCCACCATCCCACAACATCCCACCATCCCACAACAACATCCCACCATCCCACAACAACATCCCACCATTCCACAAAATTCCACCAGCAACATTTCTTTTTGTTACTGAAAGGATCCCATCAGCCCAAAGAGCTCCTCCCCACCCCCCCATCAGGATGTGATTTACAGGAGCTGTGGGTTTGTGCGATTTTCTTATGAAACAAAATAAGGGGATGCCTTTTTCCCTTTAAGACATTTTTCAAAGTCAGTGGCTGGAACTGGTGAACAGAATGTGAAAAGCCCCATAAAGCCAGGCTTTGTGTGGGGACAGGTAGCTGCAGCTCTTTCATACCATCCAGAGGCTCAGCTCCAGCTGAAGAATGAAGCAGAAGCTGAATTTAACAGTGCCCATGCTAGTTTTTAACTCAAAGTCACCCAAGGAATGCACAGCCCTGTGACAAGCTGTGACAGGCAAGCGGGGCTCACCAGCAAACCAGACCTATGGCAAAGTGCTCCCAGGAGGTTTGTGCACCCCCAGCTCCCTGCACATGCTTTCCCCCAGTGAGAACATACCAAGGTGATGCTGAGTGAGGGCACAGCACTGCCCTGTGCCCAGCAGAGCAGCCAGATGGACACTGGGCTGGCTCCTGCCAACATTCCGATGCTCTCAGTGTCCCAGGAGGTGACACAGACTGACCTTTGACCAGTGGAGCCCCATAGTGGGGACACTTGTGTCCCACGGCGTGGAACTCGCCGTTCTCCTTGATGAGCAGAGCCTTCCCGCAGCCCAGGTCCACTTCCCGCATCCTGCGGAGGAGGAGCATGGAAAACACATGGCAGAGCACCCGCCACCCCCTTGCCCAGCCCTGGTCCCACCAGGACCCCCCTCCCCTTCAACCTGCTCACCACCAGCTCTAGGAGAACTACAGGCCTGGATCACCCCTGTCACCAAGCCAGCTTTGGAGCTGGCTCTACTGCTCCCAGCCTCGGCACAGCCAAGCTGGGCCATTGAGGGGCAGCTTCTTCATCCATCACCATGTCAGGCGGTGGCCCAAAGCACCACCTCAGTTGCTCAGGAGGTGACTTGAGGTCTCCACCCAAGTGCAGAGGGTCAGAATGAAGCTTTCCAGCACGTAGTGGGAGCAAGAAACCAAACTGGTTCCACTGTGACACCTCCCCTCCTCACCCCAGTAGAGCTGCCAGGCTGGTGTTCACTCGCCCAAAGCAAACACAACATTTCTCAGGCTTGAAATCCAGGACAGGTGGTTCTGACCCCTGGTGTGCTCCGGCCTTGGGGCTGTGCTCTGGGCCTGGCTACATCCCAGGTCACCAAGGTGGGTCACCTTTTCCTCAGAACTCCAGGCACCTCCATGTACCCTCCTCGCTACCTCCGGCTGCTGTTTCTGCAGAGGAAATCTCTGCATCCTGGAGGCACTCTGCCTCTGTGCTGCTGCTGGCAGAGCCTTCCAGCTAACCATGGAGGAAAGCCGGGAGACAAGGAGTGAGCCCTCATTCTGCAGGCAGCTGGAGCACAGAGCCGCTGTTCCCTGGAAACTCCCCCTCTTCCAGCCAGAAAGCCTGTGCCCGCTTGGTCTTCATCTGGAAATCCTGGTTGCTCCTGTTGCACAAAGCGCACCATCTCTACAGCAAGCCTGGCATGTTGCATTTCATGTACCGAGTGCATCACTGTACACACAGCAAATCCCACATGCTTAGGAAAGCTATTGGCCACCTGTGAGCCCTGAACACTGGTCATGTACTACAGGTCTCAGAAGAATGGGACTCATTTTGCATGCTCATTCCTATTTGGGTAACATCCCCACAGAGCCCTGTCACTTGCACCCAGGCTAGAGAGACACTTGTCCTGCTCTCTGCTTCACAGCCATGGAGATGAGACCAGGGCCCAATGCACCAGCACCCCTGTACAACCTTCAAACCCATCCTGGGCAAGTCTTTGTGCAGGTGCCTGCTCCACCTGCATGAACCGTCCCACTGGAGTAACAGCAAACGCTCATGTCCTTGCCACCACAGGTGAGAACAGCAGCAGAGCTCACCAGGAGAAGAGCTCCTGCCCTTGGGAGCTGTTTTGTCCTAGTAATTGGCAGCCCCGCTCCGGAGCAATGCAGCTCTGCTCCCTCCCTGTGCAGGACATTCGGCACTTGGAAGTCCCTTGGTCAGCCCAAGGGGAATACAGCAGTACAAGTCCTGCTGCATTCCTCAGCTGTGCAGTACTTCAGATAAACCCTGTGGTTAAATGACAACCATAACTCTATGGGAAGATAGGTAAGTGAAAGAGTTTACAACTTACCCAAGGACCTGTGTGACCTGAGGGAGTCGAAAAGAAGACCGGCTGTCTTCAAGGCAGCGCACAGCCACCTGCAAGCTCCTGATCCCACCCTCACTGCAGAGGTTGATTTGTGCTGCGCTGCTCCCTCCTGAGCTATTTACACAGTTGGGAATTTGCCCTGTTGCCCCATTCCACCCCACACCTGGGAAGCACCAGCTAAAACTCATCTCTGGTCTGCAAAGGACCTTTGCTCAGAGGGAGCACTGGGGCTTCTTTCTGTCTGTAGCTCACTGATGTCCCTGCAGTGAGCCTGCTGGGAGGCTGGCTGGGCACAGCAGCACCAGAGTTTATCCTCCAGTATCTTTTATGGTTATGCTGAGACCATCTTGGTACCAGAAAGACCAGAAATGATGGCATGAAAGAATATGTTGAGTGCTTGCAGACTCCACCAGCACAAGCACAAGGTAGAGGTGCCTAAACACTTGTGCAGTGCTCTATGTTGCTGCTGTGCCTATGCACGCCCCTGCCCAGCATGCCCCTTGAGAGGAGGGATTGAGAAGGTTTTCCAGGATAGAAAATCCCTCCAGTTATCAGAGTCAGGAGTAGTTCCTTTGGTCTGGCTCATTGCTTACATGAGCTACGGGACCTTCTTGCAGCACCTCTGTTTTCAGCTAGATTCAGCCTGCTTGTAAAAAAGCTGTTGTCACCTTGAACTGAAAATGGTGCAAGCCCATACTGCACTTGGTGGCGTGTTCCAGTACCTGGGGGCACACACAGCTGAAGTGTGAGCCTTCTTTCCAGACCGGTGGCAGTTTCGGCTGCAGAGCTCCCTGCTACAACCACCTGCAGCCAGGTAGGTTTTCCCAGGCTCCAGCCAGCTCCCTCCTCACCATCCCTGTGACCAGCAGAGCTTTTTGAATCATTGAATCATTGAACGGTTTCAGTTGGAAAGGATCTTACGATCAGCCTGTTGAGAAATTCTGCTACAGAACATCCCATCTTTTGAAGATGAGGCCCAGCGCAGATCGTGCAGGAGCAGCAGGCTGTCTGGTTAAAGAAAAGTTGTCACTTGTCCATGAAGTTTTTTTAAGATGAAGAAAAGAAGCTTATTTTACCAAGGCAAGTTATCATCTCTAGAACCTCTGAAGAACAAGACACAGGGTTCGATTTGGGGTAGAAGGTTTCTCAGTTCTACCTGTAAAAATCGTAGGCACTTACTGTCCATTCTCCAGGTCCTTCACATGGCACACGGATGCTTCCACCACGTCCTTTGGGTTGTGGTAGGGGTTGCTGGCAATGGGATGCTCCTCGAGATGATAATGCCGGGCAGTCCCGTTGACTTTGTAGATCAGAGGGCTGGCTTTCCCATTGGGTGACATCTCCTCCTTGCTTCTTTCCTTCTCGGGTATCACAACTTCAATTTTTACTTCAACTGCAAGAGCAAACAGATGCCAGAGGTTTTGTGGCCATTCTCCCTCCTTCCCTGGGCTTCAAAAGGGGCTGACACACACCAGAATATTTCTGTGTTGGTTTGCTTGGGAAGACAGAACATTTAGTATCAAACTCAGCTTGATTACCCCAGCCCATTATTCCACTGTTCTTTCTCCATCAAGCACCTTTGCATGCATAGAGTACATATTCTTGAAAGCAAACAACAGTCAGTGCAAAACAAGCCCTCAGTCACAGTTCCTGTCCTGCTTCATGGAAAACAGCTTCAGGCAGCTAAATGTGAGGCATACCAAGGCCATGGGGCTCAGACTTCAGAAAGCCCTTGAATTGTTGGTAGGTTACACTAACTGAACGAGAAAGGCAGAACTGTGTGGTGGGTAAAGATGCTTCAGTAGATGGAGACCATTTAATAAGGCACTAGAAATATCCAAAATTATTTTGCATGGGGTTTCCAGCATGGAGTGAACCTTCAGCATCAAGTGAGAAAATCCATTGGTGAGGTGCTGGCACAGGGTGCCCAGAGGAGCTGTGGCTGCCCCATCCCTGGCAGTGTTCAAGGCCAGGTTGGACACAGGGGCTTGGAGCAAGCTGCTCTAGTGGAAGGTGTCCCTGCCCGTGGCAGGGGTTGGAGCTGGATGAACTTTAAGGGCCCTTCCAACACAAACCAGCTTGGGATTCTGTGACACCAAGGCAGTCCCTTTGCTGGGTACCTGCTGGGAGCTGCGCTACTGCTGTGGAGCTCCAAGAATAAATCTGCTCACAGCAGTATTTTATCTTAATGTTTTTTAATGCACGTTTGAACATTTGCAGGAGCTCCTGCAGGTGCCACACTGCAACAGAGGTTCACATTGTCTGTTGGTTCAGCGTGGATACACAGAAAATGGCTTTACTGGATCTGTTCATCAGACACCCCCGGTTAATCCTGCCCCTGGTAGGTCTGGCACTTGGATCAACCTCCCCTTGACCTTTTCTTCCATTGTCTTCTCAAGGGACTTGAAACTAGCAGCGTGAGGCAACAGGGGAAGCTGGGAAGACCCAGCACCCTTCTCTTGTTGCAGGGCTTGTCTTGCTCTTCTGAGGCATGCTGTTCCCTCCCTTTGCCTTTCCTTAACCTGTTTATGTCATGAGCTTTAGTTTTTATCTTCTGCACAGCTTCTCCTGCTCATGACATTTCTGAGATGAGGAAAGCTGAGCAACCTCCATTTTGCTTGAGATGCTTCTTCAGTCTCTGGCACTTATCCCTGGCTCTCTGTAGAACTCCCTGGGGTTTATTATGAATATTAATAGTTTTAGTTCTATGAAATCCCTGGGAGCTGAGGTGATGGGCTTGACTTTATAATGCGAGAGCTCATCACTGGCTTCCTCTGGTGCTCCTGTAGCCAGCCCACCCCAGACAATGGGGTGCGAGCGTGTGGGCTCCCCCACCACTGCGTGGGATGGGGGACCTGGCAGCACATCCTTGTCTGGCAGGAAGACATGAAGGGGCACCCCCAGCTGTGCCTTGCTCCATCACTGCCGGCGGCGGCATGCAGGGCGGCTGGTAGGGCTGAGGGGTCTCACTGGCTCTGGTGTCCCTTCTGATGGTCAGGGCAGTTCCTGCTTGTCCCTGGGTCCCCTAGTGCACAGTAAGGGATGCTTTTATTGTCAAACCTGTTCAGTGGTGTACACTGAAGTAAACCAGCTTTTCATAGAATCTCAGACTGGTTTGGGTTGGAAGGGACCTTAAAGCTCATCCAGTTCAAACCCCTGCCACTGGCAGGGACACCTTCCACTAGAGCAGCTTGCTCCAGGTTGCTGGGCTTAAACCATGACATCTTCCCACAGCCAACACAGACTTAACACACCACCATGGGACAGGTCTGGGGGCTCACTGTCCCCCCTGGAACTGAGCTCTCCAGGCACCCCCCAGGCTCAACCATGCTGCCTCTGAACTGCAAACCTCGATGACAACAACTTCAGGTGGTCTCAAAGAGACTCCAGATCATTTCTATTAACAATAGCAAGCTATCAACAAAGCAATTATGTCAGACATGCCCAGGTCTACCTTCCCCCTCCAGGTGCCCTTTTCAGCACAGGCCACACTCCCAATAAACAGGGGTTAGGGCTTGCCAGCCAAACGTGGGGGCACCTCAGAGCAAAGCATCCCCTCCAGCAGCAGGCAGCATCCCTGTGAAGGGGACGCATCCCCTGCTCAGAGCCAAAGGCCCCTCTGTGCGAGGACAAAGTACCCCGCAGACACACTGTGCCGTGCCAGAGCTGCCCCCCATCACAAGCTGAGCCCAGCAGAGTCCAAAGGAAAATAGCCACCAGGGTTTGGAAGCTGCTCTCTCATGCCCGGCGCAGCAATGGTGCTGCTGCAGCTCACACCAGGCAGCCCCTGCCCCACCTCAGGTCCCTTCACTCTCACCCTGAGCTGGCTGCCTCTCCCGGAGCAGGCGCTGGGATCCCACACAGGCTGCCAGCTGGCAGCTACTGCGGATGCACCACGCTCGCGCAGGGAAAAGCAGGGCAAAAATGATGCAGAGACTGAGGCCAGGGCCTGCGGCAGAGGATCCGGCTGCACAGGGCTCTGCAGCACCGGAGGGAATAGCAGATGACGTCACTGCTTGAATATGATAAATACTTGAATATAATGAATATAATTAAACACTTCAGGGCCAGGACGGGCTCAGGCACTGCTGCAGCACTTCAGCGCTGGTCTCCAGTACAGCCAGCACAGCTATTTACTGTTGCAGGACTCCACTCCCCAAAGCTCTGGTACTTGTGATCTGCTCATCAAGAGTTCTTCCTGGCACACAGCAACGTGTGTGCAGTGTCAAGGTTATCTCGAGATACACTGAGGATGCCCAGGGAGGGGACCGAGTGTCCCTCTCAGATATAAGAAGATGGACCAGACAAGGACCTCCTGTACATATTTCAAAAGCATCTAAATGCATTCTGATGACTTCAGGATGCATCTGAAATAGTCCCTTCATGTCGCAACAGCACTGGTGGAGAAAACAGCCCTGCTCTGTCCTCGCATGGTTTACTTCTCCTGTATACAGGGGGTAGGTGGGTTTTCAGAAAGTGGGAAGTCAACCGGTGGTGCAGGGGAGAGACAAACAGCACTGAAAGCTGTGAAACCTCTTTGCCAGAACAATCAGCATCTGCAAACACCTTTACCTCACTGCTTGTATAACCACCGTGATGAGGCTCCGCAGGCATCGGTGTGCTAACCGGGGCTGGGGAAAGGCTTGTCAAAAGCCTTTGAAGTCTGCTAATGAAAGGCAGAGCTGCAGAGAAAGCCTTACATTGTAGGGTGGCATTTTCAGTCATTCAGCCCTGCTATGCAAATACAGCTCTCTGTGAAAATCTGCCCTTCAGGAAATGCGCCTGCAGAGCGCTCTTATCCCCCCACTGGCCCAAGACTAAACACAACTTTGCTGATGGTACATGAAATAAAGTGGAGCTGCCAGCAGTTTGTCACAAGTTTAGCCAACAAAGGCATTTACTACCGGATGCATTTTCACTCCTTAAACAGTTCAAGGAAGGCTATAACCAGTGAGGGTTTTCACAAAAGACATCTTAGCGCTCACAGTGTCTGACGCTGCTACCTTGGCTCTGCAGTGATCCATAAAGTCATCACAGTGCAGGTCTAGGGCAGAAAACCACCTTATTATTGTGGATCCTGAGTGATTCCCCTCGCACTTGGGCACAAGCACATAACAAGGACAAGGTCGTCCTTCAGCTCCCTCTTAGGTGGCCAAAACAAGATGCAGGATGAGAGCTCTCCTCGTAGGGAGCTTTGGTAACACCGACTGCATCAGCATCCATTTCCAGGAGACCAGCACTGGGGTGATGTGGGTGCTGCTGGGTATGATGAGCTTGCCCTGTCCACCCTGGCCTTGAACACTGCCAGGGATGGGGCAGCCACAGCTTCTCTGGGCACCCTGTGCCAGCGCCTCAGCACCCTCACAAGGAACAGCTTCTGCCTAAGAGCTCATCTCAGCCTCTGTTCTTTCAGTCAGAATTATCCAAAATTATCCATTTGACCAAACTGTGTCACAGCATCACTGGTAAAGGAGAGTGAGAGGGCACCACACTCATGACACATGGGAAATCCAGAGAGTAGAGCAGCAGCAGGATCTGGCCTGGTTGGTGGGACTGAGAAAGCACCAGGAAATCAAGCAGTAGGTGATCCTGCTCCTTCCCTGGTCGTTTTCTTCCAGCAGTGACAAGACTAAGGGCTGCCCAGTGAGTGCCAAAGCTGGGGTAGTAAGGAAGGTGCTGGAACCATGTATGAGGACCATATGGGGACAGACAAATTCACCCTGGGGCATTAGGGGGCAGAAGCAGTGAGGGTAGCAGGGGCATGAGGAGACGGGACAGGGAAGACCCGGCAGGGGGTGTTTGGATGAGTTGGAGAGTGCAACCCTCCCCCAGCACCCCCCAGCACCTCTGCATCCCCAGCACAGCTTCCTGCAGGAGGGAGAGCGTGGAGGAATGTGGGGGGATTAAGGGGCTGGTAATCCTCCCTGCAGGAGCAAAGAATTAACATTCCCCCGGGCAGCGGCTGCCACTGACCTACTTCTCCCCGAGGGATGGAAGCAGTCACCTGGTTTGGGTTTGGAGAAGCATCCTCCCATGGCGCTGGGTGAGGCAGGGTTAGCGGGCAGGTCAGCACGGCTGCAGGCACATCTCGGCTTACACCACTGCTCACTGCTCACACCGGCCTGGGCTCGACGTTGGTCACAACCTGCACCGGGCAGAAAAGCTCCATGAGCACTGGCAGCAGCAGGGAATGTGGGTGCTGCAGGGAGTGGAACTCAAGCCAGCACCTGCACCAAGCCACAGGTGATGGAGCACAGGGGCAAGTCACACGGAGCCCCAGGCACCCTGATGACACGAGTGGGGGGAGATGTGACGCTGGGGTTGTCGTGCTGGAGTTGCAATGAATTCGGGTGTCAAGTTCAAAACTTCAATCATCCTTTCAAAGTTTAAAGTTCCAAAACCCCTCCAATCCTTCACATTCAGACTTTAATCACTTTCCAAAGCCCTGCCTTTGGGAATTAAATCTCTAAGCATGCAGGTCACAGCCCAAATACAATGGTTAAACCATAAATACATCTCTAGTCAGGTTTGTTTCTTTCATTAGTAGGTGATGGAAATCTACTTTATTGCCCAGTGCTGTAAGTTCCTAAGTTCCTCCTTTCCAGTAATGCTCATTCCTGCAGAAAACTCATTCACTTTGAAACAAATTCTTTAGGAAAGGGGTTTCAATATGAGGACATTTTGCATCAAAACACGATTTTTTGTATTATTAAGGCAAGATTTTTTGATGTTTAAGTGGGACAGGCAAAGAGTCCCCTTCAAGTTGTATTTATCTCATTAAGTGATGGGGCTCTCAGGTAATCACAGACTAATGGAATCATAGAAGGGTTTGGTTAGGAAGGGACCTTCAAAGGTCACCTAGTCCAACCCCCAAAGGCTAAGAATTAGAACAAACCTTTTCAGTTATACTCCTTGCCTGAAAACAGCAATATTCACACAACACAAGTGGCAATAAAACAGAACATTGAATTCATTCTGCCCATTCACACCTGCACTTACACTGATTTGCTCTGGGCTCACCATGTATTTCCCACAAAGCTTTCTGATCTGGGCAGGAAGTTAAAAACGTTTCCAGAGGATATTTTAACACAGGTGAAGAGTGTTCAAGATCTCTCCAGCGAGAAGACGACACAGCAGCGCCAGGAGGCAGTACCAGGCACTGCAATTTCTCCCTTTTACTTACACCAACTCAAAATACCCAGACCCATCCCTTTGTTTTCAGCTATATCTTTCTAAAACAGACACACTCCTTCCCACAGACCTTCAAACTCCACTTCGGCCATGCATGGTGTGAGCTCCACCAAGTCCTCGGTGCATTGCAGGAGCACCTTCAAAGCCTGATGCACGCTGAGTAAGTAATCCAGGCTATAGAAGAGCGAGAGATGGGTGCCCTGCGTGCCGGGCAAAGCAGACACTGAGGAGTGCCAGGACAAAACCAGGACAAACCAGGACAAAGCCCACACAAGGTTACCTGCAGACTACGGAGTGATGAAATGTGTTGGGAGCCACCAAACGAGCTCATTTGCAAAAGGGGGAACATGAAATAGAGCAGGAAAGAACCTCTTCTCGCAAGAGCAGCAGCATCCAAGGAAAGCAGCACACCAATATATATGCAAATGCAAGAAAATGCCATGTAAGAAGGTACATAAACAGTGGAACTTTTGGGAGCACCAGGGAAAAACTGAGCAGTCACATGCAGTAAGTGCTGTACCAAAACTGGCAGGAAGAAAGGAAAAAAGGCTTTGTACCAGAGAAAGAGAGACTCAAGCCATTAATGTATCAGAGAGACAGGACAATAAATTAGTGTAAAATATAGAATAAAATGGCATGAAAAGGTTGGCAAAACTGGAGGCAGGAGGTGGGTGCCAAAGAGGAGCCAGTGACGGGGATGAGCTGGGGGCTGGGGGGGAAGGGATCCAGAACATCCCCAGCATCAATCCAGAAGGGAAAGTAAAGCTGCATAAGCTGCATTTAAGTGAGTTCACACCAAAGATGCTGCTGTGAGCAGAACATGAGCCATGAACAGGAGAGCAAAGAGAAAGCTGAAATGAAGATCCTGTCACCTGCACAGATCCTACACCGAGGTCTGCCATAGCCCAGTTCCCACAGCCAAACCCCCCGGAGCAGCCACTTGCTGCAGGTTTCCTGCAGCACAAAGTGGACACCGAGCCAGCAGGACAGGGCTATTCAGTTGCCCAGGCAGCACCGGAGCAAGCCCTTGGGTTGCTGCACACGTCGGGGAGCACAGAGGGGACACCCACCCATCCACTCCAATCTGCCAGATGGGATGGATGACACAAGACTGACTCCCAAATGTGCCTCACCTCGACCTCCTCCAACCCCCCCCCAGATATTGATGCGATCTGATGGCCGTGGGGCTGGTTTCCAGCTAGCCTGGCTGGTTTTAGAGGGACTCTGGGGGGATGTCCTGTCCCTAAGTGTCAGCCATTCATCTGAGATGCCTTTGCTTTGTTTCACCTTAAGGACAGCAGTCTGCAGCCATCCCCCCAGGCTTGCATCACAGCTCCTGATTTGATCACTGATGGTTCCCCCTGGGCCCTTTGGAGACATAAAACGTGCTCAGGCTGACTAAGCCACCCCCAGCCTCCTAGAGCAGAGCAGTGCATCTTCAGGGGCCCCTCCTTCATTCCTGGAGCTAAGCAGGCAAAAGCAAAATGGTTTTTGTAGGATTCCAGCTGATGCTAACAGAGAAGGATCCGTCGGGCTGCCCACAGCCTCAGTCTCAGCTAGCGCAAAGAGATGCTTCAGAAAGTCACCCGAGACCCAGCTGGTTGCTAGAAGGCATCAGCCTGCCCTGCCAGACCAACATGAAACACAATGGGACCATGCCTCTGCTAGCAGCATCCAGAGGTATGGATCTGGAGCTGAATCCTGCAGGAGTCATGGCAAAATCTCCTCTTTGTTAGGGAAGGGAAAGAAGCTCACATACAACACGATGTAACTGAGCCCAGGATCATCTGTAGAGCCTTGCTAGCCCTTAAAGGCTAATGCACTGACATATACAAAGTCAGGGAGCTGATGTCCATGCCTCGGTAAACCAGTTCATAACCTGCTCCCTGAGCAATACAGCACTTTGTGCTTCACAGCTGTACAGGAACAGCTTCAGCATGTGCTCCAAGAGGGCAACAAGAAGGCAGGTATCAAAAATACCTTGTGGTGCTGAGGAACATACTCTAAAAACTCCCTCATGAATGGGGAATCGAATCAGCCCTGCAACAGGCTGTCTGCAAAAGAGGACTCCAGCATCACCCACAGAGAGCACTGCCCAAGAGCATAGAACCAGAGAAACCACCCTGCTCCCAGACAGAAGAAAGACGAAAAACAATCCAACAGGAAAAAGGTAGAAACCAATCCAGTGCTAACCCCAAGCACTTCACTGCACAGCAGTAAAGCTGCAACACTGCAACAAGTTTTTACTGAAGGCAAGGGATATACATCTGCTGTGCCTCCGAAATTCTTCCCAAGTGCTACTGTGTTAAGTTTGTAAGTACATTGTACATTGCACATAAAATTGGTATTCTTCCCCTGAGCATCAGTTTGTGTCTATTGAAACACCCATTTCACCACCTGGGCACCAAGGTCCATCCCATCCAGCTACACCGTCTCACAGGTGGCATCTGTTTTGCTGCCGTGGCTATTTCTGGCTCCCTGCCTGGAAGCCTCGCACCCGTCCAAGCACTGCGCCATGCACAGGGACATAGGCACCGGTCAGTGTGCCACCCAAGCTCGCTCCAGCTGGGGATGTCAGCCAGAGACCGCTCCATGGGGAGCACAGAGCGCTGCTCGGGGAGCGAACAGCCATGATTCCCGTGCTGTGGAAGGGGTGCTGGCGCACACGGACACCGGCTGTGGCCTCTCCTGGCTCCTCCAGATCCCCTCGCTGAGCTCTTGCCTGCACCTTCCCTTTTCACAGGCATCATCCTGACCCGAGCTGCCCCTTGCCTGGTCCTGGCCAGGTCAGCCCCGGGTGCCACCAGAGGAGAAGGAGGGAGGGCTCTTCCTGTCCCTTCCCCTCTTGCCCAACACAAGTTCCCTGTTGTTTTTGTTGGACAAAAGGGGAATTTCACCTCCCTCTGCAGCGCTGAGCATGGGCCCTGGCCAGGTTCCTGGGGCCATTTCTGGCCAGTGATGTCCCGCTGCTCCTGCAGGACCAAGGCTCCCGCTGTGTCTGTGATGTCTCCACCTTCCTTCCCTGCAGCAGCTGTTTTTCTAGTTTTCAGTGATTTGTAGTGGAGGTCACCTCAGGCAATGTCCCACAGCTCCATCTTCAAAAGGAGCTGCTGGTTTATAACTGCCCCTGCATACAATAAAATTATTTCTTTACTGTATCTTAGTTCTGTTGCCTGCAAATATGCCTGCTTCTGCTTCAGAACTTTGACCTTCAGAAGCATTATCTGTTACTGCAGATAATTTTTGGACTCACAGCAATATTACCACCATTTGCAGAACTCAGCACTTTCCTCTCAGGACATCCTTTGTGGATGTCTCTGAAGAGTCTATATCACAACACAAGTCATTTCTTTCCTGCTCAGTGTTAAGGACACCTAAAATGGGTCTCACCAACACCCTTGTGCTCTGCACACATGAATCTCACCAGCTGCCACAGTCTACCCAGGTCTGAGAGAAGGCCCTGGGGCTGGGAGAAGGAAGTCACTGCAGGTGTCTGTACTCAGGGATAGCACCCAATGGACACCTGGAGTCTTAGGAAGGCCTCTGATGTCCATCAATAATGTCTTTTTCTACCACAAATGTCTTTTTCTACCACACTTGTTGCTCAGGTGAGAGATTCTCTCCAGTTGTCACACATGGCTTGTTTTCCACCTGAATGCTTTATCCTGGGCAGAATTGATCTTCAAAGACTGGAAAGCAGAACTATCCAGGTTGGACGGGGCTTGGAGCAACCTGCTCTAGTGAAGGTGTCTAGGGGGGGATTGGAAAGAGATGAGCTTTAAGGTCCCTTCCTACATAAACCAGGTTGGGATTCTATGCTTCTATCCTATCTAGAAGCCTGGACACAGGACACACACAGCTCTGTGACCCTGGGTTCCTCCCCTACCAGCACACGATGCCATGCACACCAGAGGACACAAGGTAGCTCCCCATCTCCTGGAAAACTTGCTTGTGTGCAAACAAACAGCCTTGCCTGCTCTGCAGAGCGAGGACTGTGCCTTTTCCAGCCAGTGATACCCAGCTCTGCAGGCTGCAACCCCAAAGCAGAGCACAGGAGGAGTGCACGGCTGGAGGCTCAGAGCATCTGGTGGTACTCTCCGTACTTGTGGGGCAGAGCTGCCCCTGGCTCTGGTCCCTGCTGCGTCAAATAACTACCCCTGACCCCAGACCGCCCCCTCTACCGCAGTGCTGCCTCCCTGCCGCTTCTCATACGTGCAAATATTGTCTTTAATGCAAGGCCCAGCAGGGAGTGGGGAGCAGCCCCAGCAGCAGACCTGCTTCAGACACACCCTGCACACAGCAAGCAGAGCCCAGTACACAGCACAGCCCGTCCCGCGAGCAGCCCAGGCACTGTGCCTCGGGTACAGGGCATAGCCTCTGCCCATCAGGTCCTGAACCTCACAGCAACCCAGGGCCCCCATTTCCCACCCAACTCTTCACCCCATGCGGTGGCACCGAGCAGTAGACCCCATCTCCCAGCCCCACCATCACCCTGTGTGGCTCTATCCCAGCTGGGTTCAGACGCACCCTGACCCACTGCACACCAGGCTCATACTCCTGGTGCCCTCCTAAGACAAGGGCTGTCCACTTCTCTTCCTGCTCTGGGGATTTGCTCTGGTTGGACTCGCACTGTGACTGCTGGAGCTCTGTGGTGGGTCACCACCACCCTTTCGGGCCTCCACTGCTCCCATCCCTGACAAGTACACACAGACCATCCTCCTCCCATCACATCCTCAAGGTCAGCTCCTGTTTCACCTTGGTCCCCCTGTGCACAGCTTCATGCCCCACTTCTCCTCCATCTCTGCTCAGTGGGACACCTCAAGCCATCAGTGATGCTTCTTACTTCCACCTCCTCAGCAATTCTCAGCAGTTTCTGCTGCTCTGTGAGCAGAGGACATTCATAAAGATATCTAAGTATCCCAAGGGTGCAGCCCCACTGGCCAGCATGCCGACCTGTGGGCACACTGAATGGCTGCTCCGTAGCTCTCTGTGTTGCTTCCACAGTCCTGCAGAGAGCAACTCCATCGACAACCATGGTCACTGCTGGCACAAAGTCCTGCTGACCCCCTGAGATGCCCACAGCCTCCCTCTGCCCATGCAGGGGTCTGTCCCCCTCGAGCTCTGACACCAAGGGCATGGCCAAGCTGCCACAGCCCGCAGCCAGGAAGAGAAACTCCACAGTTCAGCATCAGGAGCAAGGACTGGCTCAGCAGAGTCAAACCGCCTCATCCTCGGGGCAGGCTGGGCTCTGGTGCCAAGGAAAGCATGTCTCTGGATGTGGGACTCAGCACAAGCCAGGCACGGCCGGAGAATAGCGCCCCACGGAGCATGCTGTGCGCTCTCTGTTATCCAGGCAGCGCGCAGCAGCCCGCCTCTGACCCCGGGGCGTGCACAGGATTTGCCTGCCACGAGAAAAGCTGGAAAAAGCCGGTGGGAAGGCAATCAAGTCACACAAGAGCGTGATGGGGGACGATGGGTTCAGGGCAGGGAGAATTTGTATCGTAAAATCATTTGGGGGTGAAAACTAACTGTCTCCATCCTGAAGCTGTCAATTCTTTTCAGGAATTGCACTACGAAGGATGAACACAAGGCTCCCACAACACCCCAGCCTGGCACCTGCACAGACATGGGGAAACATTCTCATTAGCGTGACTGCCTCTGGTCCCTCCACCTCGACCCTGGACACGGTCATGCTGCTCGCAGGAACATGCTGTGCACTGCTGTCCATACCCTGCCTGCGCAGCACATGAACCAAAATCAAGGGGGCTGGTGCCCTGGGACGCCCTTCTCCCTTCTCTCCTCCCCCTGGCAGCCCAAACTGCCCTTGACCTCTGCAGCTCTACACCCCCTTTCTTTCCCTTGCACAGCTCTCCATCCAGTTCCCTTCCCTCTGCCCAACTCTCCTGCTCCCAGTCTCATGCCGTTTCCATACCAGTCCTGACTCTGCTCCAGGGGTCCCTCAGTTGCTGACCCCCAGCACCAGCAGAGCCCCACTGGTCTCCTCCTTCCCCCCATGCTCCTCCACCACCGTGCCACCCCAGGGCCCCCGGCCCCTGCCGCCTCCTCAGCACAGCCCTTCCCACCGAACCTTCACCTCTCCAGCTGCATCCTGGTGGGCACCGAGAGTTGCTTTGCACCACTCTGGAGTAAAGATGGGTTTGGCTTTCCCAGGTAATTTGCCCCAAGAAACAGAAGCAAAACTCATGCTGCAAAGTGCCAGAACTGCCTCACAGCCCCACGGATGCCCACGTCCTGGCACACTTCACCTTGTCTCCTTGTCACTGGGAGTTTGTGTCAGCAGCAGCACAGGGAGTTCTGAAGCTGCCGTTTACCGTGCCCTGTGAGCTCCCAGAGCAGTGCAGCGGGAGCGGTGTGACAGACTACAATTAACCACAGTTATTTTACTGACTGCTGCTTCAGCAGTTTATAGGCTCCAGGTTAAAGGCTCATTCAGCAGCACTGTCATTGTCACCCCTCCAAGCACGTCCTCTGCAAGCTGGATTGGAAGTAATTAAACATGGGAGTTTGTTCAGATCTCAAGGGGATGCCAGCAGAAAGTGCAAAGGCTGAACATGTCCCCAGGTGTAGACTGCCTAATGAAAAAATCAAAACACTTCACAACACAGAGGAGTTTTAATGCTCCATCTGTTCCAGGCAGCCAAGTCCTCTCACTGCTATCACCGCCCGTTCAGGATTGCACAAGAAAAACCCGTGCTCCTACAGAAGCTGCAAGCAGTGCAAGAGGACTTTATCACGGCAGTGTTTTCCAAGACTAACAGCTAAAGCACACCACCAAGGCACTGGGAACTGGATGTTCCCTCTCAAAGGAGACCATGCCATCACCCACACTTCTGCTAATGCCGTTTCCCCACTACTCAAGCAAGGCACCTGCAAGTAGCATCCTGCCAGTGCCCCAGCGCTGCTGTGACACCCAGGCTCTTTTTGCTCAGACGGAACCACAGCCCCCAAATCAGCGACAAGCAAGCTTGGAGAACACGCTGGGGAGGGGGGAAGACCCCAAACCCGGGGCTCGGGTGATCCGCGGCTTTTCCCCGACACGCATCGCAGACAGCTCTTTTCTGCACTGATGCCTTAAGCCGTTGCTGCATCTAGAGAAATGCGAACATCACCGGCTCAGCCGCACGGCTGCGGCGCTGCCGGACGCCCATGCCCCAGCCCCGGCCCCGCAGAGGAGCCTCCGGGTCCGGTGCAGTCCCCTCCACCCCCCGGTATCCCGGCTCCCACCGCCCGCTCCCCATCCCCCACCGGACCGGAGGCGCGGATGCGGCAGCGGCCCCGCACCAGGATTTTCCCCGTCAAGGATTCCACCACCGCCCCCGGCGCTTACCCGGGCAGCAGCGGCGAGGCTGGGGCCGGTGCGGCGGACGGGAGCGCGGCCGCCCCCGGGGCGGGCCGGGGCGGGCCGGGGAGGGGCCTCCGCCCGGGACACGGCTCCGGCTCCGGGGCTCGGGGCTGCTGCTGGCCCGGCTCCCAGCGCACGCGATGCTTTTGCCGAGCAGCGCGGGGCTCGGCCGCCCGCAGTCGGGGCCGCTCCCGGGTAACATCCGAGTCCCGTCCCGCACCGCGTGTTCCACGTTTTCCTCCTGAATTCCCGTTTCTCTGCTCTCCCTCGGACGCAGCGATCTCCTCCCGCTCCTGACTGACTGGCACGTCACTGCTCTCCCCGGTAAACTGTTTTCTTGCCGTCATACCCCGTCTGCACGAGTGTTAGCATTCCAGATCTTACAACCTGAAACTGTTCAAGGCCAGGCTGGACGGGGCTTGGAACAACCTGCTCTAGTGGAAGGTGTCCCTGTCCCATGGCAGGGGGTTGGGACTGAATGAGCTTTAAGGTCCCCTCCAACATGAACCATTCTATGATCTCTGTGTGCCTTTTCTTTTGTCTCCATGACTTTGAGACCACTCTGGATACAGAGAAAGGTTTTGTCTCGCCTGGCTACAGATTGTCTTGTGTCACTGCTGTCTGACACCCTGATGATATGACTCCTCAAGGTTGTCCAGATGGGTCACTGCCCTCTGACACACAGCTTTAGTTACTTGCTCAGTGCTCCAAACAAGCAAGGGGCCTAACTGGGCTGTTCAGCTGTGATGTTCACTGAGGGTAAAAAGCACTATCCATGGGTAGAGCCTGTGGACACAGGCGCTCCATGTACCTCTCCGGCCTTGCAAGAGGGACTGTGGAGCACTGGGCACGTGCACAAGCAGCAGAGAAAGAGCATCCCTGCACATGGTGAAGCCAGGCTGGTTCAGCCTGGAGAAGAGGAAGCTCCTTAAGGGGAGGCCTTAGAGCAGCTCCAGTGCCTAAAGGGGCTCCAGGAAACCTGGAGAGGCTTTGGACGAGGGCCTTTAGGGACAGGCCAAGGGGAATGGCTTTAACCTGCCAGAGGGGAGACTGAGATGAGCTCTTAGGCAGAAGCTCTTCCCTGTGAGGGTGCTGAGGCGCTGGCACAGGGTGCCCAGAGAAGCTGTGGCTGCCCCATCCCTGGCAGTGTTCAAGGCCAGGTTGGACACAGGGGCTTGGAGCAAGCTGCTCTACTGGAAGGTGTCCCTGGCCGTGGCAGGGGCTGGAGCTGGAGGACCTTTAAGGTCCCTTCAACCCAAACCAGGCTGCGATTCCATGATAAATACACAGAACTAATGGACAGTGCATACCCCTGTTACTGCTCTCTTGCAGTGCAACCTTAGGCTCTAGGCACTGACTCCACCACTCCCACATTGGGCACTGCCAGGACTGCAGCATCTGTCACTGAAATGCCCGTTCCCCCTTTGCCAGGGCAGAGGGTGCTCTGGATGTTGCTGGCATTTATGGCCCCTCTTGCCTGGCCCCTGGGCTGCCCAGTATGCTGCTGACCCTGCCAGGTCCGCAGAGGTGCAGCCCTGCACCGTTACCCCCTCACACACCCCCCACTGCCTCAGGGACAGGATGGGCTGGACTCCTGCAGCCTGGGGCAGGCGGAGCCACGTCCTGCCCAGCCCGGGAACACTCAGGGATGGCAGAAAAGGGAGGGCTGGGATGAAGGGCAGGTGTTGGGGTGACCTGATAACTCAGTGGGGACCCTCTGGCATCCGCAGACCTGCTTTCCAGGTTGGATCAAGGCCTCTGCTGTACCATTCCCTTGGGAAAATGCTTTACCGCTGCCTTTCCCACAAAAGGAAATCCCAGAAGAGGAGCTGGTGGAAGAGAAGGGAAAATGGAAGGTAATAAGGGAGAGGTTGTATGAATGGAGCAGCCAGTGCAGGCAGGGAAGCAGCGAGGTGCAGCTGGAGGAGGAGGGCTCAGCAGAGGCCTGACTCTGATTTGGTCAGCCCTGACGTCACCCAGCACTTTCGGTTTCGTAGCGAAGCAAGGAAGCCAGGATCTTGCAAGGAAGCAAGGAGCCTTGGATTTTTGTGATGGCTGAAAGAGACCCCAAGGAGGGTGATGGGCCCTTCACCTTTGGTGCTGGTGAGTTCAACGAGTTTAGTGTCTTCATTAAGACTTTGTGGGGCAAAACGCTTTCAGTGCCAGTGTCTCTGGATGACTCCGTAGGAGTTTTTGGTCAAGATGAACACACAGGACTCCATCACGTCCCCAAAATGTTAGAAGTTGTTCTATAATTAAAACAGATGGAGGACAACCTGACACTGAAATCAAACCCAACTGCCTTCTGTACTGTAACCTAAGGTGAAAGTGCTGGGTGGCCTGGGGATGTAGGTGATCTGGAGGCAGTGGAGGGACAAGCAGGTGCAGACTGAGGTGTCTCCAGAGGAGGGACCTCACCAGGACTGCAGGCAGGAAGGAAGGAGCAAGGCTGCTCCTCTCTGTGCACCAGGGAGCTGCCATCGCACACATGCACTGGGAGGTGAGAAGAAGGCAAAGGCTCAGGAATGCCCCTATGGAGGAGGAGGGCAGGAGAGAGAAGGACCCTGCTCCTGGAAGCCGAGCAAGAAATTTGCTCTCTCTGTGGCAATGGGGAGTGATAAGGAGCCTGGGAGCGCATTCTCAGCTGCACAGTGCCTGTCTGTCTTGGGAGAGGGCACAAATGAGAAGGAAGAGGTTTGACAGTAAAGACATGAAGAGGGGGAGGATAAGCAGAGGACAGGAAACTCCTCTGGACATGATGTTGGTCCTGGGATCTCCTCTGCTTTCTGTTGCAGTTGCAGTGCGAGGTTATGAAGAAGATCTGGATCCTGAATTTTCAGGTAAGGTCATGCCCAGGTCTTCACTGACAGCTTGGTGCAGTGGGGCTGGCGGAGCTGCAGAGTGATGAGCGTAACACCTCAACTCACTGCCTTGTTCTGAGCACGTCCCTGCCATGGTTTGTGGAGGAGGACGTGAGAGATGCAGTAGATGTGGGAGCATGTGATGGTACTTGAGGGGACCACTGTGGCTGATGGGTTTGGGAAGGCGGGGTGAAGGCTACTTGAGGATGCCTTCTTCTCCCAAACATGAAGCAAAACTGACATCTTCCTGTTCTTCCAGTCGTAAGGACGCGCGTGGCAAGCCGTTACAAACCTCTGAGAGATGATGCCTTGGGGAGCTCAGAGATGAGGTCCTGCCTAAGGCTGGGTGAGGAGCACGCAGGAACGGGGAGGAAGGCACAGGCTCTTGGCCAGCCCTGTGGCTGGGGCCTCCAGGGCTGCCCATCACTACTCCACTGGGTGTCAGGAGCTGGTGGGTGCTTCCCTCGGGCCCAGGAGATGGAGCTCACGGGCCAGGCAGGCACAGCTCAGGTATCAGCCTGTTTCCTCCCTGCAGGATGTGAGAGCAGGGCTAGCACTACCTGGCACTGGGGATGTTGCTCATGTTCTCAGACCTCTCCTTCAGCAGCAAGCATGGCTGGAGGAGACGAATACAGCGTGCAGGTACTTTTCTCTGTGTTTCTCTCTGCAGGAGAGTGATGACGAGCTGGAGCCGGACTCAGACCCAGACCCACCACTGCAGGGAAACTGCTGCAGCTGCATCAGAGAGGTAAGGGCTTTGCAGGTCACACCAGCGGGAAGCGGCAGAGAAGGAGCCTGTCACCGGGTGCACCTTCACAACCCGTTACTCACAGCAATTCCTCATCCTCCAGGAGAGTCTGGCCCCTTTTGCTGTGCTAACCCACCACACGCTGCCCCAGTTTCCAAGTTTGCAGGAAGACAAATCCCACTTCCTTACATCCTGTATTTATTCTCACTGCTAAACATTCCAGCTGCCTGTGGCCGCAGTCCTCTTTGCTGATACATGATGGCAGAGAGGGAATAGCCCAGGTTTACTCACAAGGAAGTCAGCAGCACACATTTTCTCTCAGGAAACAGCAGCTTTCCTATCCTGAAATTCCATTTGCAAAATGCTTCCTAAAACAGTGGGTGAAACACGTCATTTGGAGCTCTGGGATCTGTGTGTCCTACTACTGCATGGGGGATGCATGGGCTAGCCAATGACTTCCTCAGCCCAGTGGCATCTACCCGGGTGGGGCTGTGATCTCTCTTGGGCACTGCTGCAGGGATCTGCAGGCATTAAAGGGGTCACGCGGCTCAGAAATGGCCAGTGCTCCTTTTGGATCCCAGAGCAGAGGGGTTGCCAGATACTGATTTTTCTGGACTTGTCACTGATGAGAATGCCTTTCTGGGCACCAGGCACAGGCACTGAGCTCCCACTCCAAGCTGCACTGTGCTTCACTGTCAATCCCAGCACAACACCCCATTCAGACCCAAACTGGCCACACTTGTGTTGCAGGATCTTCCACAGGTGATGCCAGAGATCATCCGAGAGGCCGTGAAGCACCGCACCACGTACCAGTAAGTGCTATGGGGGAAAGATGGAGCATTTCCAAAAGCCCCGTCCCTGGTGGCATGATCCTGTCATCCCTTCCACCCACAGAGCTCACCTCCCTGGTGCAGGCATCTTCCAGTGCTCCATCACAGGCCTTGGCTTTAAGGTGAAGTCAGCAGTGACCATCACCTACAGATATGCCACCTGGAGCAGACACCTCAGCAAGGCCGATGAGGAAATGTGGGTTCCTGCTGGACCCCTCTTCCACATCAAGGTGCAGCCCAGGGTCGTGCAGGAGGTGCATCTCCCCCACTTCATCTGCCTCGCAGGTACAGCAGCCACGGGGACCTGGGCATCCCAATGCACCACCCCCCTGCCTGTGCGCCCCAGGATATCCTTCAGAAAGAGCCAAATTCTCTCTTCCCCCTGAGATTCCCTTTGTATTCCTCTGCTTTGCTTTGGAATCCTTCCTCCTGCTCTCATCTTCTACCAAGCCTTTCCTCAGTGGTCCTTCACCAGCTCCGGCCCCTCACCACCAGTGTCTCCTCACCCACCCTTTCCTCCTACTGATGACCCCACCCGGGCACTACCCCAGGCTCCCCCAGGGAGTTCCTCAGCTCTTTGCATTATGGCAGCTGTGGATGGCAATTGTTGCCCTCGCTTTGCTCCGCCGGGAAGGAGAGGCTGAACCACTCCAGGGTGGGATGCAGTAGGTCAGACCTGGCCCAGGCAGAAGAGGAAGTGGAATGGAATTGTCCATTTTCCTCCGAGCAAAATGAGGAGTCACAAGGCTTGGATCTGGGTCCTCTGCCCGGCAGTGCTCTTACCAAGGCACTGCTAATGAGTGGAGAAGGATCATCAGCACCTGAGTCCCAGTCCTCATGCTGTGGCCCTGACACAGGCACTGGGTATCCTGACTGAGACTCCTGTGGCAAATCCATGTCCTCTTCTGAAAAAGAACAAGCTGCAAAAAGAGCTTCTTGTCTGGCTCCATCTCCCAGCCAGCGCCTACAGGCACAGTCGTGTCAGCCAGACAGTGGCTCTATGCACTCCCCACTGACACAGCCGTGCAGAGCAAAGAGCTGTCGTTAGAGTTCAGATTTGCAGGTTTCTGGGCCTGCAGCTCCCTGCCAAAGCCCAAAAGCCCAGGGCACACCTGGGACTAAAAGCAGAGCATGTCATTGTGTGTGGGTGCGTGTCCCCTTTCTGTTGCTCAAGCCTGACAGCCTAAGAGAGTGCCAGAACAACTAAACAGAACCTTGTTGCCTTTGCTGTCTCTCACAGAAGGCGTAGACACCAGCGTATGCTCCATTGCCCATTTTAAATTTGAGAACATGATCCTGGAGAGACCAACCAGGGTGGCTGCATTCTCTGCTGTCCTGAGGAATCCCAGCTTCTCACTGCTTGGGGTGCTTTGGAGGAAGTTACGTTCAACCTTATATTCATTTCCTATGCATTCTTTGGTGCTGATCTACCAGCAGCTCAGGGCTGCAAATACAACTTTTCACCTCTACCTGATCCCAGATGACAACTCTGTGAAGCAGGTAAGACAGAGGGAGCTTGACTGGGTTACAAAAGGATGACCTCTATGGCTGCAGTAGAAGGGGCTGGATTTGATAAGCAGAGATGCCTCCCAGGTTTGCTGCCTCTGATTCACCCACAGCCCTGTGCCCCCATCTCCCACTGCAGGACAGCATCCTTGCTCCTGCCTACCCCACTTTCTTTCACAAACGCCTCCAGGAATCACTGTCCATGCTTTTGGCTGGGGCAGCATGTCCTAGCACAAGCAAAGCCATGGCACAGGATGCTCTGCAACACGGAGCAGATGTAGGACTTGGGGCCACTGCCAGGCACAGCACTAGGTGGCTGCTCACCAGCTCTTCTGGTGCCTGCAAGCCCCTACCCTGTGTCACAGAGACTTTGCATCACCTTGCCCATGTTCCTGCCTGCACGCAGGAGCTTCCTGCCTGCATGGAGCGGGAGCTGCCTAGCTCCTGAAGCACAGCACTGCCCGTCACACACACCCACTGGTCTGTTCTGACTTGGTCAATCTCTTCTTGGATTCCCCAGGACCAGCTCCAGGTCACAGCCCTTCTGGCGTTTTTCTTTCCTCTCTCAAAAGCCGTGCTTGATGCTTACAGGCCATAGAAAACCAAGAAAAGGATTGGAATACAAAGCTTATTCCCAAGCCTCCTCCATTCAGCCCTCTGTTCTTTGGCTGCATTTACCAGGTGACCAGTACAGATTTGGTGGTGATAACACCTGACGTAAGTGGTATTGTTCCCTCTCCCCCTTTTTCCCCCCCAGTGAATTAGAAGATGCCAGAAGGCTCTGACTTCAGCCATACTCTGCTGCCAGAACCTGTCTTGCTTGATCTCAGAGGCAGGGGTGCAGGGAGCTGTACTGCTTCCAAGTGGCAAAGATATTTCATGATATACATCCCCAGAAAGACTGCAGAGCACACCCCAAAGCCCCAGAGAGCAGTTTTAAAGATGACAGAGCCAAGCTCTTGGCAGTGTCAGGTAAAAGCAGTAGAAGCCATAACTTGCAACCTGGGAAGTTCAGGCTGAATGTTGGGAAAAATGTATTACCCGGTGGAGATGCAGCCATCAGAGCAGGTTAGAAGGTGCTACATCCCTGCATCCTGGGGTTTTCAGTGCACAGCTAGACAAAGCCCTTTCTCAGCACATCTAGACTGGACATCAGTCCATCTTTGGGAGGTAGGTCAGATAAGATACTCCAGAGGTCTTTTCCGACCAAAATTAGTGCTATTGACAGCGTAGCAGAGCCCTGACATATGCATCTTCCCTTCTCTTTTCTCTTGCTGGTATAGCCAGGAAACGCAGGATGACGTCTGAATTCACTGCAGCTCCCCACAATGAGATTCAACTTGCTAATTGTCTTTGCAGGCACACTTGCCATTTTGTTACAGGAGTCCTAAGGAACAGCAGCTCTTTGTTGAGATCTACATCAACAATATGGCAGAGGAAACTGGGCTCCTTATGATAAACACACATGATAATACTGAGGTCTGGAGGGCATCGCTGAGACCAGGTAGGAACAGCAGGTCCATCTAGGAACTCATTTATTTTAGCAAAAGCAGAGGTGCATCACCCAAGAGACCTTACGTATTTTGTGGTCACAGTTGTCCACACATCCTGCAAGAAAAGCAAACGCTATGTGTGCAAAAACAGGCCACTGAGGATATAAGGACCTGAAAGGACACCCCAATATACATCAGACCAGAGCTTCAAATTTAATGTGAAATTTCACATGCCTGGGACTTAGGAGAGCATGGCAGCACTATCAGCCTCTCTTCTCTTGGCTACTGTTTATGTAGAAGGCTGACTTATTTTTATAAGTCCATGAACGTAAGGAACACCTGTGGATCTCTCAGTGCAACCACAGTGCGATGCAGAGCAGGTAAACATCAGTGAAAATCAGTATCTTGAACTTCATGAGGTTCAACAAGGCCAAGCGCAGGATCCTGGCTCCTGGGTCGGGGCAACCCCTGGTATCAATACAGGCTGGGGGATGGAGGGATTGAGAGTAGCCCTGAGGAGAAAGACTTGGAGGCACTGGGGGATGAAGGGTTGGACAAGAGCCAGCACTGCGCTTGCAGCCCAGAGGCCAGCTGTATCCTGGGCTGCAGCCAGAGGAGTGTGAGCAGCAAGTCAAGGGAGGTGATTCTGCCCCTCTGCTCTGCTCTGGGGAGACCTCACCTGGAATCTACAGTCCTCATTACAGCAAAGCCATTGGCCTGTTGGAGAGGGTCCAGAGGATGGACACACAAATCATCCAAGGGCTGGAGCACCTCTCCTATGACGAAAGGCTAAAGCAGTTGGGGTTGTCCAGCCTGGAGAGAAGACTCTGGGGAGACCATATTGTGGCCTTTCAGTACTTAAAAGGAGCATATAAGAAAGATGGGGAGAGACATTTTAGCAGGGTCTGTTGTGATAGGATGAGGGGTAACAGTTTTAAACTGAAAGAGGGGAGATTGAGGATGAATGAGAGGAAGACATTTGTTACCATGAGGGTGGTGAGGCACTGGCACAGGTTGCCCAGAAAGGTGGTGGATGCCCCATCCCTGGAGACATTCAAGGCCAGGCTGGATGTGGTTCTGGGAACTTGATCTAGTTGAAGATGTCCCTGCTTCTTGTAGGGGAGTTGGACTGGATGAGCTTTGAAGGTCCCTTCCAACCAAACTACTCTGTGATTCTATCTTTAAAAGCTGCATGTTCAGCCAGCACTTCTCTTCCAGATTGTCTGGGTGTGACACCAGTGTGTGACACAACACCCAGAGCACACCGGGTTAAGGCAAGGCCAGATGGACCAGATCCTGCCTTCCCCATGCGTCTCTGCACGGCTGGGTCAGCTCTGCAGCCACCGCACACACCATCAACATCATGCAGCAGCACCCACCCCTGGGTCCTCTGTGGAGAGGCAGCCCCTCTCAGGCCCAGGGTACAGTACTGCTCATCATGCCTTGAGACCCCCCTCTCTGCTGGTCTGATCCAGCGCCCCCAAGAGTAACACCTACAGTTTACTGCACAGATGGGCAGGAACAGTAGGAGAAATGGCCAAGAGCTTTGTGGAAGACTGGGCACCTCAGGAAGATGTTGTGGAGGACTGGGCACCATCATTTCAGTGATGGCATTTTCAGTGATCTCTCTCTTTTCACTTTCAGGTGATATTAATCCTCCTGCCTTTGCCTCCATGAACATGTCAGGTCAGTACAATGTTTCAGAGCTACCTTTCTAGAGTCTAAATCTATTTCTTTGGAGCTCACCAGTCTGGTTTAAAGCAGGTATCCGCCTTTCTTCCTATCCTTATGATAGTTTCTAGACAAAAAGCCTTCAAAGCTGCAACCTCAAACTGTTGCTCCCACATTGCTGGCAGCACACTCTGCCATGCTGATAGGTAAAGTGGCATGATGCAGGTGACCCTCCAGACTGGTCCTCCCTCCTTGCCCTGCTTCCAGTGCTCCCACCATTGGTTCCTCCTTCCTTGCCCTGCTTCCAGTGTTCCCATTGCTGGTTCCTCCTTCCTTGTGCTGCTTCCAGTGTTCCCACTGCTGGTTCCTCCTTCCTTGCCCTGCTTCCAGTGTTCCCACTGCTGTTGCAGCTGGTGCCCATCCTAGTTGGTGGAGGGATGGAGCCACATGGCTGTGGGCTGTGGGACAGAGTGCACAGCCGTGGTGTCCGCTGGCTTTGGGTGCCACATGGAGCAGCACAGCGCTCAGCTGCTGCAGCACAGTAATGGAGGCTCAGTGTTTGCTAGGTGGAGCATTCCTGAAGAAGCACAAGGCCAAACTTTGCTCCAGGATGAGGCAGCTCACCATTCTGCCACACTTGCGGAATGCAAATGTCATCAATAGTGATGAAGAAGAGGAGCTGCAAAGTCAAAATAAGAGTGTAACAAGGAACCTAATTTTGCTGGATCTAATTGAGAAGAAGGGTCTGAAGGCCCAGGAACAGCTCTACCAGATCCTCCGTTTGAAAGACCCGTATCTCGTTGCAGATCTGGAGAATTCCAGCTAGGCCTGGAAAAGCAGAACTGCTTTTGTTCCCGTTGCTCAGCTTATGGGAGCAATGGAAGGGCAGTTAAAGTGTGGAATCCCAATGTTACACTGGAAAATGCAATAATCCCTCTGAGCTTCCTGGTCCCAGGCCTGCATTACTTGGCTGATTCTATTGCCAGCAGTGGACATGACAGCTACTGGAGAGAAGCTGCTGGAACAAGAGACCTTGGTTCCAAATCCACTGCCAATACCTTGGATCTGTCTGCTCCCCTGAGTCTGGGCCATACATCTCCAAAAGCTCCATGCAGCTGCTGGGAGGTGAAGGAGCCCCTCTCAAAGGAGCCATAGAAAATAACAGAAGAGATTCTTGAGCAAGCTGCTCTACTGGAAGGTGTCCCTGCCCATGGCAGGGCATTGGGACTGGATGAGCTTTAAGGTCCCTCCCAACCCAAACCATTCCAAGATTCTATGATTCAGGTTCATGCATCTTCAGGGAAAGTCTGACTCAACACTTGGACACTGGCTGGGAGGGGTGCAGGAATGGACCCATGCAGACCGGAAGGGGAACCAGGAAGAACAAAGCAGGGTGAAGCAGAAGGGTGTTTTAAAAGCGGCCATTTGGTTATAAACCAGGCTGAGCCCTGTGCCGGTCACCACAGTCTGTCCTGGCTCTTTATATTTTCATATTAAACGTTTTTGTAATCATTTCTCTGCGTCATCTCGCTCTGACGTCTGAGTTTGAGCGGCTGCTGCAAGGACCAGGTGCCACCTACTGGGGAGACCTGTGTGTGCATCAGGGGATTTGGCATCACCTGCTGCAGGGAGAAGGGGGTCTTTTACCTCCGGCCACGGGATGGGAATGGTATCCTCAAAACTCGCTACTGGAGGGGACCAGCGTGATGCAAATGAGTGGTTCTGTGCAGCTGGAGCTGGATCGCGTGTCACAGCCCGTGTGTCTGGTTGGGGACCAGAGTATTCCCCCCAGCTGGGTGTGGGGAAGTTGTGCATTCACCACGGAAATTCAAGCTGGACCAGGTGGTGAGCCCAGGATCCCTGGCGGGTGGGAGGGCTGCGATGCAGGCGGGGGTGCCAGGGAAACTGAGGGGCTGTGCTGGTGCTCAGGGGAACCCCAAGTGTGCGTGTGCTTTGAACCCTGAATGTGTGTATACCTGCACTCACACAGTGCCTGGTCAGGCATTGGAACAGGCTGCCCAGGGCAGGGCTGGAGTCATTGTCCCTGCAAGTGTTCACACCCCGTGGAGACGAGGCCTCAGTGCCATGGGTTAGAGGTGGCCTTGGCACTGCTGGGAATGGTTGGATTTGATGAGCTTAAAGGGCTCTTCCAGCCTGGTTGATTCTGTGACACTTCTATGACACCAGTGACCTCCTGCCTCTGCCACCCCAGAGGAGGCGGGCACGGTACTGGTGTGTGAGGTGAGTCAAGTGTGTGTGTGCTGACAGCAGCAGCCAGCACCCGCCTGTGTGTTCATGCGTGTGTCCTGTGTCCTTGTGTCTGTGTGTGTGTCCTGTATGTGTCCTGTGTCCTTGTGTCCGTGTGCGCGTCCTGTGTCCTTGTGTCCGTGCATGTGTCCTGTGCCCTTGTGTCCGTGCGCGTGTCCCATGTCCTTGTGTCCGCGCGCGTGTCCCGTGTCCTTGTGTCTGCGCGCGTGTCCCGTGTCCTTGTGTCCGTGCATGTGTCCTGTGTCCTTGTGTCCGCGTGCGTGTCCCGTGTCCTTGTGTCCGTGCGCGTGTCCCGTGTCCTTGTGTCCGTGCGCGTGTCCCGTGTCCTTGTGTCCGCGCATGTGTCCCGTGTCCTTGTGTCCGTGTGTCCTGTGTGTGTCCCGTGTCCTTGTGTCCGTGCGCGTGTCCTGTGTCCTTGTGTCCGCGCGCGTGTCCTGTGTCCTTGTGTCCGCGCGCGTGTCCTGTGTGTGTCCTGTGTCCTTGTGTCCGCGCGCGTGTCCCGTGTCCTTGTGTCCGCGCGCGTCCTGTGTCCTGTGTGTGTCCTGTGTCCTTGTGTCCGCGCGCGTGTCCTGTGTCCTTGTGTCTGCGCGCGTGTCCCGTGTCCTTGTGTCCGCGCGCGTGTCCTCTGTGTGTCCCGTGTCCTTGTGTCCGCGCGCGTGTCCTGTGTCCGTCCCGTGTCCTTGTATCCGTGCGCGTGTCCTGTGTGTGTCCCGTGTCCTTGTGTCCGCGCGCGTCCTGTGTGTGTCCCGTGTCCTTGTGTCCGTGTGCGCGTCCTGTGTCCTTGTGTCCGTGCATGTGTCCTGTGCCCTTGTGTCCGTGCGCGTGTCCCATGTCCTTGTGTCCGCGCGCGTGTCCTGTGTCCTTGTGTCCGCGCGCGTGTCCCATGTCCTTGTGTCCGTGCATGTGTCCTGTGTCCTTGTGTCCGTGCGCGTGTCCCGTGTCCTTGTGTCCGCGCGCGTGTCCTGTGTCCTTGTGTCCGCGCGCGTGTCCTGTGTGTGTCCCGTGTCCTTGTGTCCGTGCGCGTGTCCTGTGTGTGTCCCGTGTCCTTGTATCCGTGCGCATGTCCTGTGTGTGTCCTGTGTCCTTGTGTCCGTGCGCGTGTCCCGTGTCCTTGTGTCTGCGCGCGTGTCCCGTGTCCTTGTGTCCACGCGCGTGTCCTGTGTCCGTCCCGTGTCCTTGTATCCGTGCGCATGTCCTGTGTGTGTCCTGTGTCCTTGTGTCCGCGCGCGTGTCCTGTGTGTGTCCTGTGTCCTTGTGTCCGTGCGCGTGTCCCGTGTCCTTGTGTCCGTGCGCGTGTCCTGTGTCCTTGTGTCCGCGCGCGTGTCCTGTGTGTGTCCCGTGTCCTTGTATCCGTGCGCGTGTCCTGTGTCCGTCCCGTGTCCTTGTGTCCGCGCGCGTGTCCTGTGTCCTTGTGTCCGCGCGCGTGTCCTGTGTCCTTGTGTCCGCGCCCGTGTCCTGTGTCCGTCCCGTGTCCTTGTGTCCGCGCGCATGTCCTGTGTCCGTCCCGTGTCCTTGTGTCCGCGCGCGTGTCCTGTGTGTGTCCCGTGTCCTTGTGTCCGCGCGCGTGTCCTGTGTCCTTGTGTCCGCGCGCGTGTCCTCTGTGTGTCCCTTGTCCTTGTATCCGTGCGCATGTCCTGTGTGTGTCCTGTGTCCTTGTGTCCGTGCGCGTGTCCTGTATCCGTCCCGTGTCCTTGTGTCCGCGCGCGTGTCCCCGGGACAAGCGCTCAGCTCCGCTGCACGGGGAACCCGCAGCCCCCGGCCTGGGCAGGATCGAAATTCCCTGGGCTCCAGCGGCCGGGCGGGCGGGCCCGGCGGGATCCCTGCGGGGGCGGGGGGAGCACGGCCACGCCCTTACCTCTCCTGCCCCGCCAACGGCCAGCACCGGGGGCGTGGCGCGGAGCGCCGGAGCGCGCCACCCGGCATTGGTAGGAGGTGCCCGCGGGGGAGGCGGGGCCTCTTTCTGATTGGTTCTCTCTACGAGGGGCGGGACGTGGGGGAGTTCTCTCTCGCGGGAACAGGGTATAGCGCGGGAATTTCTTCCCGCGGTGGCGGGTTGGGGCCGTTGTGGTGGGGCCGGATCGTGATGGTGCTGCGGGGCGGCGGAGACCCCGACGGAGCGCGGAGGGGCCGGCGGCCTGGCGGGCCCTGGGGACCTGCGGCGGGGACTGACGGCGCGGCTGCTGGCAGGGACGATGGCCCCGCGCTGTCCGCTCTCAAGCGCCTGGAGCGATCGCAGCGCACCGACCGGCTGGACGCGCTCTTCGGCTTCGAGAGACCAGCGGAGCCCGGCGAGCGAACGGGCTGGCTCATCAACATGCACCCGGTATGGATCGGCGGGGCGTGGGGCGAGCAGCCAACCCATGGGGCATGGGGAGGACGCCCCCGGTAGGGCCCGGTGGGGGGAGTCGGGGAGGCCTCGCAGAGGCGCCTTGCTGAGTCCATGGTGCCCTGGGCAGACGGAGGTGCTGGATGAGGACCGGCGGTCGGTGAGCGCTGTGGACTATTACTTCATCCAGGAGGACGGGAGCCGCTTCAAGGTGGGTTCCCCGGGGGTCCGGGTGCGACAAGGGATCTCCTGAGTGAGACTTGTTGCCGTCACCGGTCTTGTCTCTCCTAGGTGGCCCTGCCCTACAAGCCCTACTTCTACATCGCCGCTCAGAAGGTGAGGAGGGGACCCTGGGAGGGCTGAGGTATCCAGGGAAGGGGACAGCAGGCCCCTGGGGAGCTCGAGACGTCCTGGACATTCAACTTTGGGACGATCTCCCAGGGGATAGTGGACCGCTCAGCCTTGGGGGTGTCTCGGCAGGGCTGTGAGCAAGAAGTGTCCTCCTTCCTCTCCAAGAAGTTCCAAGGGAAGATTGCAAAGCTGGAAACTGTCCCCAAAGAAGACTTGGACTTGGTCTGTATTCCTCTGGCCTTTGTACTCTTGAGTAGTGATGGTTTTTGGACATTGCACAGCTCTAGTGAAGTAGGAAGGGACTGAGTAAAGGGAAACAGCATGCTTCAGTCTCCTAGTGCTGCTAGTGGTGCCTATCAGTAATAGGTAGCTATGGCTAATTGCATTCTTCTCCTTAAGCACATCAGCCATTTCACAGCATCTTCAAGGTGTTCTATTTTGGGAATTAATTGGAGGAGGAGAGGTTAGGGTGGGAGGGAGCTGCTACTCATGCTTGACCTGCTCTTATTCCTCTTCCCCGGGTGGGTCCTTTGTGGTTCTGCCTGCCTGGGCAGCAGCGCTGGCTGTGTCCTTGCTCTTGCAGCTCCTGCACTCTTCCCTGATGTCTCTTCTCGATGCTTGACTCTCCCACCCATTGGCACCTTTTTTTTTTTTTTTTTGTCCACTTCTGCCACCTGTATCAGTCTGCTATGCCTTCCCCACCCTCTTATATAGCAGCATAAAAGTGTTTGGGTTGGAAAGGACTTCCAAAGGTCATCTAGTCCAGACCCCTGCAATGAGCAGGGACATCTTCAGCTAGATTAGGTTGCTCAGACCTACATCCAGCCTGGCCTTCAATGTCTCCAAGGATGGCAGTGCTCATCCCCCAGAGCTGGCATTGTCTTGCTGCTTTGCAGCCAAACCACTTGGTGGGTCTGAAGAGGAACTACATCAAGCTGTCCTTCAACACGGTGGATGACTTGGTAAAGGTGCGTAAGGAGATCTCTCCTGCTGTGAGGAAAAACAGAGAACGAGACCGGGCGAGCGATGTCTACACAGCCATGCTGTCAAGGTGGGAGCAATCCTGAGGGCCTCTCATGTTAATAACTCGGCTCCCTTTTGTTTCTTAGCTGTCCCCAGGGAGCAGTTGTCCTGCCTGGGTCTGTCCCCAGTTATACCACCCTTCTCTGAGGTGGTTCTTCGAGCTCAGTGCTGCACGTTAAGAGGCCCCAGAGCCTCAGGGATGTGATGTGCTGTGGTGGTACCTCTGCCTGCCAGGCACGTAGATACCCTGTCTCCTGAGAAAGAATACTCAGAGGCATTGGGCAACCTTACCTCTGGCAGTGACTAAAGGGAAGAAAGCCCCAGCCAACATGCTCTATCTGAATGAGAAGTAGGAGCTTGTTCGCAAGGTTGGGAGCACAGTTGCAGGCAGAAAAAAAAAACCCGAAACCTCCTTTTTTTTTTTTTTTTTTTTCCTAAAGCCACCTAGTATAGAAATATGCAAACTTCACCCTGTTTGGGCTCCTGCCCCTGAAGTCTGATCTTAGTTGAAACTTCAGGAAGAATCAGGTGAGATGAGTGCC